GTGGAGATGCGGCCACAGGGCGCTGTCCCCGACCCCTCCTGCTGCCACGGTGACATTGCCCAGGAGCCGCTGCTCGACTGCCCCGAACAGACCCCAGAGCAGAGAATTGCCCGAGAGCCCAAATCCCCCGTCCCCGGGAGCCGCAGGCCCCAGCCCTGCCCGGGGCTGGGGGCCAAGGTCCGTGCCCGGGGCTGTGGTGCGGGTCCATGTCAGGGGACGGGGGTCCGTGTCTGGGGCGCTGCTCGGCCCCGCTCCCAGCCCCGAGCTGGTCTGACAGGCTCGGGGCAGACGGGAAGGGAGAGGCCTCCGGCGGCTCAGGAATGCACAGCCCTTATCTCTGGCTCCCTGCGCCTGGGGAGGGAACAGCTCTCCGGAGTTTGCCTTTCTCTCGCTCTTACTCACCCCCGCTCTGCCCTGGGTGGAGCCTCACTCTCCAGGCTCCCAGGTGAATCAGGTTGCAGGCACGTCCAGGTGAGCAGAGAGTGACCCACCACCTGCCCCGGCTCACCTGGGAAGGCAGGAGAAGGGCAGGGACCTCGTGGGTACCTGCATGGCCACCTGAGTCAGAGTGACCCACCACCAGCCCGGCTCCCCTGGGAAGGTAGGAGAAGGGCAGATACAGCCGGGGTACCTACGTGGCTGCGTGAGGTGGAGGGCAAGGGCTGGGGAGGGCCTGCCTTGCTCCTCTGCGCAGGGCTGGGTGTCTGGGATCTGGGACAGGGAATTCTGCAGGCATTCCACGGGCAGGAGATGGCTGCTTCTACGCAGGAAGGCTCCAGTGGCAGGAGCTCCATATCACGCCATGATGGGGAGAAGGGAGAGACACGGGAGGAGAAGGGAGAGGCAAGTGGGGAGGGAAAATGTCCCAGCACTGGCAGCAGGGAGTGGGGATCACAAGGGAAGGGATCCAGAATGTCCCAGTGATGGCAGCAGGGACTGGGGATGGGAAGGGAAGGGACCCGTCTGTCCTCAGATCAAAACTGCTCAGTGAACACTTCACACAACTGTGTCCCGTCCCTTTGAGAAATCCCCAAGGAGCAGGTATTCCCAAACTCAGCCTCATTCTTTGGGAAGAGTCTTACAGCCTGACTCAGCTCCCCATGACAGAGCCCGAGCTGGCCTCCTTCTTGGATCAGGAATGCAGTAGGGACGTGTGGTCAGGAGGTCGGGACAGAGGGGATGTCACCAGTGGTCGTACTGGGAGGGCTGAGGTCTGCCGTGTGCAAGGAGCTGGGAAGCAGTTCGGAGGCTCCCACTCTCCACACGCACGGGTTGGGTGTGCAGCCGAGCACCGACACAGCCCGCGAGCCCTGACACAGCCGTGCACGTCCAGGCAGGAGCACGGACGGATGCGCGTGGACACGCGTGCACAGGCACACGTGCTGACACTCACTGAGTTTTCCACAGATGTGAGGCTGACAGACCTCAGGATTTGTGTGTGAGCAGAGGAAGGGGACGGTCCCATGTTCCTCACTCTAAATTGGCTGAGGTCAATAAGGGTCAATTATGGCTCTTGCCTGGCCTGAGGACCAGGTTCTCCATCTTCTAGAACAGTTAGAGAGGGAAGAGGCACCTCCGAAGCGACAGAAGTGCTAATCAAATCCTTCTGCTGCTGAAAACATCTAATTTTTGGAAGCTGCAATAAGCTCAGCTGTGAGAGGCCAAAAATATGTCAGCAACAGCACACTACCCCAAAGCAGAGCAGTGACAGTGACAGCAGTGCTGAACACGGCTTCCCAGTTCCTTGTGCACATGTTTTCCCTGGATCAGGAGGCAGGAGAGCACAGCGTGCCCCAACTCCATTAGGGGGACACAGGGGGAGTGTATTTTAGGGAGAGAAGGTTGTTTAGATTTTGTTCTCGCTCTTATTTACCTGAGGGGCTTTAGAGTTGTACTTGAGGGATGAAGAGAGAGCTGGATTTGCTGTCACCTGGCAGTGGGAATAGGAGTATTCAGAGGGGGAAAAAAAGTTATGCTCTTTGTGTGGCTTAGGGGAAATGACATGTCAAAGGAAAAATTTGTGGCTGCCCCATCCCTGGAAATGTTCAAGGCTAGGCTGGGGCTGGGAGCAGCCTGATCTAGTGGAAGGTGTCCACTAGAATGAGATGGGCTTGAAGATTCCTTCCCACATCAACCAGTCTCTGATTCTGAGATTCTATAAATGTGGAAATGTCGCATGCCACAGTCTATGTTTGTGGCAGAGCAGGGTTCTGGATCAGGACAGATTCACCCATGTTCTAGACATAATTTTTCTGGCAATCACAACTTTCCATGCACTGAAATTCACCTCCAAACCTTGCAGGATTGGACTTCTTTGCATTTTATGGTTACATGAACACTTCTGGACTGCTTATCAGGCCCAATATACTGGATTTTTGTAGCCCTAATGAGGAAGAGTTTGATGAGTGCATTTCTACAATCAGGATATGGGGGAAATAAAAGCCAAAGGCAGAACGTTGTTGACCTTCTCCATATTAGACCTTACACTGTTGGTCCTTTTCTTAAAGTTTTGTGGTCTAGACTTTGTTATATCTTCTACCTTGTGAATAAAATCCAGGGAAAAGCGTTGGCTGAAGGAGAGAGCATGGCATGAGCATTGCTGTCATGGATGTGGTGCCTGGGGACATGAGTTAGTGGTGCCCTTGGCAGTGCTGGGGGAGTGGTTGGACTCAATATCAGAGGGCTTTTCCAACCCAAAGAATTCCATGATTCCATGATTATCCAAGTAATCTGCTCTCTAAGAGACCCCTTTTGCATGCAGGATGGCATTTCGTTTCCATCAGCTGTAAACATCACGTTGTGTCCTGGTGACTCCCCACAGCTCGGATTTCCCCATCCACCCTTGTTGCACAGGACAGTGAAGGCTGACATGTTGACATGCTGACATGCGTGACAGGCTGCCATGCTGTGACATGTTGACATGCTGACATGCGTGACAGGCTGCCATGCTGTGACATGTTGACAGGTGTCTCAATAACCACTTCACAAGGAAAATTACGACATAATTTTTCTGCCACTTTTCCCTTCCTCTGGCCTGCAGGAAGATTCTCTGGACATTCCGAATGTCCAGCAAGGGATGTTCTGTGGGATCCCTTGCACTGGTAAGCAGAGGTGAAGGAGAGTCCAGTGGGTGTTTGAGGTGCAGACCGGGCTCCCAGTTCCACTCTGCCACATGTCTGTAGCATTCAGGGCATTCCCTTCTCACCTGAGGCACAGAAAGAGTTTATGGAGCCATGTCGGGTTCAGCTGCTACAGGTGTGAACATGGAAGATGCAGCTGTGATCTCTGGAAGCTCAGTGAATAATTGATTAATTATTCTGATAATTAATTATAACTGATGGCCGTGACTTCTGATGACTTCTGTCTTTTTTGTAATGATGACTGAGATCCATATAAAACCATCCAGAGCAGAAAAATGGGGTGACATTCACTCAGATTATTAACATGGAGTGATCAACTCATCAGATGACCAAAGGAAAAGGCCTGTGGGGTATTGTAACAGGAGTAACAAATTCCAACCAGAAATTTTAACAGTAACCCAGGCTTTGAGCCTACTGCCTGAAACTGAGAGGACACTGAGGATGAGAACATGGCAGAACTCAGCAGAAAATGCAGAGAGGAGAATGGAAAGAGGAAAAATAAGTATTAGGACTTGGCAGAGGCAGTTGTGTCTAAAAAAGGATCTAATCCAGTTTATTGCCCACATTTCACCGTACTGTTTGGGGGATGTGCCTGAGCCCTGCTTAGTGAGAAGAACAGTTCATGGGAAGGTGTCCAGCATCCGTTTTCATGGAATTACAGAATGGTTTGGATTGGAAGGGACCTTCAGACTATCTTGTTCCAACTCCCCTGCCATGGGCAGGGACACCTTCTACTATCCCAGGTTGCTCCAAGCCCCGTCCAACCTGGCCTTGGACACTTCCAGGGATGGGGCAGCCACAGCTTCTGTGGGCAGTTTTCTCTTTGCCTCAGCTCTTGTACAATTCCATGGCCATGTGCTTTGGCTAAAGCAGGAAATTCTGGGGTACACTTCAAGACTACAAGTGCTGCATCACTGTGAGGCTGACAAGTGAAAGGCCTTAACCTGAGAAATCCTAACTAGGATCCCAACTAGGAGAAGTCTAACCCTTAGTATGGAAAGTGAGCACATGCAGGAACAGCTTCTGGAGAGGACAAGCCCGTCTCGCTGTTCATACAGGTCCTACCTCTGCTGCAGCAAGATCAGAAGGCGCTGGCTGTCCTTCCATCACAGTGCAGAATTAAAAACCCCACACCTTAAACCATATTCCAGGAGACAGGTCCCTCCCCAGATCATTTAACAAGTACAACGTTTTCTTGAGAGCAAACCAACACTTTCCATGTCTCATTGTCACTACGTCTGCTCCAGTCGTTTTCCCTCAGGGGTTGCTGTCCTCTCCTAAACCCGACCCTCCCAGAACAACAGCAGCCTATTTTCACAGGATCTTTTCTATTTCTTCAGACCAAATAATTTTTTTTTAAACTTCAGGTGTTGAGGCATTTGGAAACCTGAATTTTTTTTCACAGCTTACCCTAAGAGACATCAGTGATGCCAATGAACCTGGTATATGGGCCAGCTGAAGCCCATCAAAGGGATCAAAATCTCCTCGACTAACTTCTTGCCCAGGGTGTGGAAGTCTTCAAGTGTTGATAGCATGGAGGGGTTTGTGGCTGGCTGTGCAGAGTGTGGGCTAAAGAACAGTCTGTTTGTGCTGCCTTTTTCTTCTTGGTGGTACTCAGAGCAGTGAAAAGATGAGGTGTTTAAGCCCAGGAAATTGTGCCTGTACTTGCACATAAGCAAAGGGCAGGGATCAGGTCTTTCCAGCCTTTTCCAGACGAAGGGATCCAGCCCTGCTTCCTCCCAGGCAGTTCCTTCCTCGGTGCCTACAGACCTTCGGCAGCCTCAGCTCCTGGGAGTGTCCCGAAGCAGCGGAGCAGGTCCAGCCAGGGAAAGGATCACCTGAGCGAGGCAGCCTGGGAACTGGCTGTGCAGGCAGAACACGTAACAACAAGCACTGGAGTCAGCACTGGGGAGGCAGCCCCAGGTGCTGAGGCATCAGCAGGGCTGGCACCAGGCATAGCAGATGAGAGAGAAAGGGAACACTGAGCCGGTTCCCTTTTGCTTAGACTGGGCAAACACAGCCCAGCACCCTTGATTCACACCTGGCACAAAGGCTCAGGAGAAAGGCAGGTCCTGTTATTTATTTATTTTAATCTGTAGGGCTTTGTGGTGATCACAGCATGGCTGAAACTGTGATTTCCTGCTGCTGTGTTAGGAAAAAAACAGTAAAATGGAACATCATATGAACGGGGAGCAAATGCAGCCCAAGTCAACAGGTCTGTACTTTTCCCAGTTTCTGCTCTTAGTGTGAATCCAGAGGTAAAGGGAGAGTTTCTAAATCCAGCTTCATCTGTCAGCCACTTTTCCTTACATTAAATATTCCATATGGATGAGTATTCTTCTGTGCAGAGGCAGCTGCAGGCTGTGATCACATCACTGCTGACTCTTCCCAGTATTAAGGGGGTCTGACAGCTTTTGGGGATCACAAAACCGAATGTGTGTGACAGGTATCATAGCCAGTCAAGTCACTCCCAGTTACACTGGGAACAGAGGCCAACAACAGACCGCAGGCCAAGCCAAAGGGATATTTCCTTTGGAGATTCCCTCCTCAAAACCCCCTTGATAATAGCACAGGGATGGCTGAGGGCTGCATGTTCATTCCTCTCCACCTGTTCCTCACCTGCTGGTGGTTTTTTGACCAAGGAGCGGAGTGACTTCATTAGGACTCTCCATGCACTTGGCACAGCGGCAGCCAACCAGTGTCTTTGGGACAGCCCAGGCAGACGGGTGGAGGAGACCTGAATCCTGCCTCTCATCAGCCCATTCTATCAGCCTTCATCTCCCACTTGTTAAGTTTCCAACAAGCTGCTTCCTGCTCTCCTTTATCCACTGCCCCCGAGCATGGGAGGAGTTACTGCAAACAGCCACAGAGCTGCCTTCTGTTCTCCTGCAGCTTCCTCCTGTAAAACCCAACCACCAGCCCGGAGGAGTGTGTGAAAGAGAGTGCCAAAGAGCCAGGGTACCCATACCTCCTTCTTTCTGTGGGATTCTCGGGGCTGTCCTGTGCAGGGCCAGGAGCTGGACTTGATGGTCCTTGTGGGTCCCTTCCAACTCAGGAGATTCTGTGATTTTTTCCATACCCTTCTGTGTACATGTCAGTGCTCATCCTGTATTAAGAGAAGGATTTCCTGGGGAGGAACTAAAGTTTGCAGGTTTGGTTCAAAAGGTTCTGATCATGAGTGGTGTTCTTGATACTTCTATATTTATGGATGTGATTCATGGAATGATCGCTTAGGATAGCAGAGAACTTCATGAAATGCCAAATAATGATAACAGACTTCTAGAATGTGTGAATAGGTGACACTGTGACACACAGGAGGGGGCTGGAGCCCCTCTGCTCTAGAGACAGGATGGGAATGCTGGGAGTGTTCAGCCTGGAGAAGGGAAGGCTCTGGGGAGACCTTAGAGCCCCCTCCAGTGCCTAAAGGGCAAAGAGCTGGAGAGAGACTTTGGACAAGGGCCTGGAGTGCCAGGACAAGGGACAGTGGCTTCCCACTGTCAGAGGGCAGGCTTAGCTGGGATATTGGGAAGATATGCCTCCCTGTCAGGGTAGTGAGGTGGTGGTACAGGTTGCCCAGAGAAGCTGTGGCTGCCCCAGCCCTGGAAATGTTCTAGGCCAGGTTGGATGGGGCTTGAAGCAACATGGTCTAGTGCACCCCTTGGCAGGGGATGGGACTGGATGATCTTTAAAATCCCTTCCCACCCAAACCATTCCATGATTCCATGACAAGGGTCAAGAGGTGTTGATTTTCTTACCAAAGCCAAAGGACAAGCAGCAGATCCAAAGGAGAAGGAGGCCACGATGGACTCTCAGGCTGAGCTGGAGAACTCCTTGCCTCTGGCTGCTGCAGATACTCCAATTTGATAGGGATTTAGGGAAACTCTGGGTGAGTTGGTGACAGCAAAATACTTTGAGGCTCTTGACAGGCATCAAAACCCATCTGGGGCTGGAGATTCCGGAGCCCCACGGAGCTGAAATTGGCTCTGAGAAGTGGTGAAGAATCAGAAGTGCTGTCCCTGTTCCTGTGTGTTTTCCACACCTCCTGCTCTTAGTCCCTATGGGAGACGGGTTTCCAGGGCTGATGGACCTTTGATCCCCTCCCATAGAGCTGATTTTATGGCTGGTTCTCCCAGACATAGATGGAAAAGGCGGGGTTCAGGCACGGTGAGAAGGAAGCCTGGAGAGACTGAAGGTGTGTGAACTCTTTATTGAGAGGACCAGAAAGGAAATCATGGAATCATTTGGCCTGGAAGCTTATCTTGTTCCACCCCCCTGCCATGGGCATGGACACCTTTACACTAGCCCAGGTTGCTTCTAGCCCCGTTCAACCTGGCCTTGGACACTTGCAGGGATGGGGCAGCCACAGCTTCTCTGGGCTACCTGTGCCAGTTCCTCACCACCTTCCCAGGGAAGAATTTGTCCCCAATATCTGATCTAAATCTAATCTGATTCATCCTTCTGTCGAAGTTACCACCCATCCTCTAGGCAAGTTCTGGTATGAAGTACTGACAGTTCGAAGCAGGATTGTGTGTTGGAGTTAAAACAAGCGAGGTCTTAGCACTGAGGCTGTAGAAGGCTGATTTGTTACTGTTTGGGAGACAAAATAACAGAATACTTGGCCAAATGTGAGCATCTCTGTTAGAAGATGAATCCTTGGGTATTACTCACTTATTTTCCATCACCTCTAAGGGGCAACACAACCCTTGCAGGTGGGCACATTATACACCTGCATTTGGTGACTCTGACCCTGAGTAGCAATCCCGGTTCCAAAACTTGGGGATTTTGGGTTATTTTAGATGCCTTTGGGCATTTACACACAGCAGGTGTGACAGCAGCCCTGCAGAGACCCACAGCCTCCTCAGCAGCAGCTGGAGGCCAGGCCAGGTACCTTCAGGCATCCCGAGTGACATGGAGTACCTATGTATGAACACCTGAAACCTGAACTGCTGCCCTGGTTATGGTTGCACTTTATTTATATTGACTTTCCCAAGACTTAAGGGTTTGGTGCTGGGAAGAATCAGATTTCGCCCCTGCTGCCTAATTCACCTTCTGAAAATTTTCTTTTATGTTCCCCTAAACCACCAGGGCCTGGACAGTGGGATCAGTGGGGGTGTTGCCAGGGTGCTCAGTGGACTGAAGAACTTCTGAGGTCCCATATCAGTGTGTTCTGCTCAAAAAAACAATTGCTGGAATTTTTTCCCAGGTCCTATTGGCAGGATGTAGCAGGAGTCTCTTGCTTTCCTGTCCAATCCTGGGGCAGTTCTCTCCCACTCTTCCTGGGGGGCTTTTCCTGGTAAAACTGTGAAGATGTGAAGAACATTGATGGTGTGCTTGAGCTTTCCTGTTCCCTCCTGGGGGGGGGGGGGGCATTGCAGGGTTTGTGGCTCTGGGATTTTGGACTAAGGGCCTTTGGGGTCTTATTTTTCCAATATTGTCATGGAAATGGAAGGAGGGATGTTCAGGGGTTCCCTTTGACCTGAGCAGGTCACACAGCCGCTCACAGCTGCAGGTGGTGCTGGGTTGACGTGAGCTCTTCTTCTCTTGTACCCACCAACAGTTTAGTGCCTGAGATATTCTGGACACAGAATATCTTGTTACCCTTTATAAAGATCCCCAAGGGAATTGTGAAGGTGCCACACATTATTATTTTTAGCATCTTCATAAAATGAAATTCCTAATTAAATAAAATAAAGAAGTCTGTAAATAAAATTCTCTATTATCCCGTAGTTACAGGCTGAAAATCTACATTTGGTGTATTTTCAGTTTGTGACTCGGTTTCTTTGACAGTTGTGATGGTTCAGAATTCCAAAAAGACAATGTTTTTCTTTCTCTGAGGTGAAAGAAGCTGCAGGAAACAGATTTTCAGGTGAAGTTCAAGCAAGGAGCCAACCCCTGCTTGGAGTCCCTCTTGTTTGAGGTGCCCCTGAGCGAGGAGAATCCAGCCATCACTGAAGAGTACTAATAGCTAATGTGTGTCCAGTCTGTGTGTTCCCCTCTGGAGTGGGGAAACCCAACATGGTGTTCCCTGAACTCCTGTTAAAGGAACCAAGGCTCAAAGCAGAGAATGCCCTACAAAATACAGGGAATACACAGTTCTGGGGTCAAAAAAAAATAACAAGGCAATGCTGCACACTGAGTAATCCATCTCCTATCCCCTAAGGCATGTCAGCTGGTGCTCCACCAAATCCAGCCTTGCACTGGGATAATGGACACACTTGGAATGGATCAAAACTAGTTAAAAGAGAAGTGAAGAGACAGGAGTTTAAAAACCAATTTTGTCTTAGAAACCTCCCTCTGGCTCACAAATATCAGCCAGAAATGGTGTGTGATTGCTTCCAAATGATTTGGAGAGGAATTGCTTCCCAAATAGTGGATGACTTGACCCAGAACTGGAGACCCAACCTGGCAGTTGGCAGCTTCACAACACCAAATCTCACCCAGTGCCTCAGGGCTCTGCCAGCTGCAGACATGTGTTCCCAGGAGCTGGAACACAGCAAAACAAAATTATAAAATAAAAAAAATCCATGAGCTAAGTGCAGAATTCAGCTGAATTTGTCAAGATGGGCTATAGCAGGAGGAGTTTTATTTATTCCTTAACCTGAGCTCAGCTCATGCCCACCAGAGTGATAGAAGGTAATAAATATCTTTTGAGGTTCCAGTAACTTCTCCCCTTTCACTTTATCTGATAGGGAAAGAGTTTGGAGGATTAAGGGAATATCCGTAATTTTGTGCATGTATATATATTAAATATTTACATATATAAACCAGCTTTTTTCATGCAAGCTGAGAATTCATCAATATGGTACAGTTCTTGTTGCAGCTTAGGGAATTAAAGGATGCCAACATTTAATAGAATCATGGAATCACAGGCTGGTTTGGGTTGGAAGGAACCTTAGAGCTCATCTTTCTCCAGCACTGCTCCATATGCTTTGAATCTCTTCCCTTTGCCTTTGCTCTGTGAGGACGATGTGTCGCTGTCATGACACCACTCTCATGGCTGGTTTTAATTTCCTTACAGCTCTCCCTCCCCTCATGGCTCGTCGGTCCCAAAGCTCCTCGCAGGGGGACAATCCCCTTGACCCCAACTACCTTCCCCCCCACTACAAGGAGTATTACCGCTTGGCGCTGGACGTGCTCACAGAGGAGGGCAAGGAGAGTTACCAGCGCTTCCTGGCAGAGGAGGCAGCCCCCGACTTCCTCTGCGGCTCCGAGGTGGATCACATCATCCAGAACCTCCAGAAGCCCCAGTATGCCAACCAGGAGGGCAGCACAGACACCACAGGGGACAATGACATGGACGGATCCTCCGGGACTTACTGGCCCATGAACTCAGACCTTGCCGTTCCTGAGCTTGACCTGGGCTGGCCAATGGTCTTTGGGTTCAGGGGAACAGAGGTGACAACCCTGGTGCAGCCACCTCCCCCGGACAACCCCAGCATTAAGGAGGAGGCTCGCAGGATGATTCGAGCAGCTCAGCAGGTGAGACGGGGAGAGCCCAGCTAGAGCAGAGGTAAAATCACGTGTGCCAGAGAAGTGCCAGAATAGAGAATCAAAGAATGGTTTGGGTGGGAAGGGACCTTAAAGCTCATCCAGTTCCACTCCCTGCCATTGGCAGGGACACCTTCCACTAGACCAGGTTGCTCCAAGCCCCATCCAATCTGGCCTTGAACACTTCCAGGGATGGAGCAGCCACAGCTTCTCTGGGCAACCTGTGCCAGGAACTTACCATTCTCACAGGGAAGAATTTCTTCCCAATATCTCACCTAACCCTGCCCTCTGACAGAGGGAATCCATTCCCCCTTGTCCTGTCATTCCAGGCCCATGTCCAAAGTCCCTCTCCACCTCTCCTGGAGTCCCTTTAGGCACTAGAAGGGGCTCTAAGGTCTCCCTGGAGCCTTCTCTTCTCCAGGCTGAACAATATCAGGTCCTCTGCCAATTCCTTTAACTTTGCTCCCAGGACCTGACAGAGGGGCAGGATGATTCCAACCCCACCACTGACTGCACCGAAGCCTGTCTCTGCTCTTCTCTGCTCTCACAGCACAGTGTGCAAGGCCACACTAAAATACACCAGAGTTCACAGAATCCCACAACAGCTGAGCTTGGATGGGGCCTCTGGAGCTGGTCGAGTCCAGCTGCCCTGCTCAGAGGAGGTCAGTTACAGAGGGTTAATCAGGATGTGTCCTTGAGCATCTCCAAGGATGCTCCCTCCTTGAGCATCTTCAAGGGAACAGGACAGCCTGTTCCCATGTTCAACCCCCTCTTCCAGTCCCAGAGACTTCTCTCATGTTTAATTGGAATTTCACGTTTCACTTTGCGTCTCCTCTCCCTGGGCACAACTGAAAAGTGTTTGGCTCCCTTCTTCCTTATGCCCTTTCCATCAGGTATTTGTACTCACAGATAGGAGTTGGGAAGGACAGGGAGGTAGACCTGTGAAGCTGCTTCCCATATTATCACATGGATGTAGTTGGATAGTGACTGCCTGAACGTTGGCCAGGAAGTTACCTAAAAATGGCAAGAGGGTTTTGGAGTGGGGGAGCAGCTCCTTACACCACCCAGTGTGGTTACAGGGCCAAAAAATTCATGGAATCATTGGATTGATCAGTCAGGGAACATTCAGGGGCAGTGAAGTTTTCCTTCACACCTCATACCAGAACATTTCCTGGACAGAAATTTTGTTTCCAGTTCTCAGGCCCAGAGTGGTTAAAGGAACCTTTAATTGGGATGTTTCCTGTTCCAAAAGGAAGTTGGAATGAAAGTTCCAGTTTCAAAAGGGAGATGGAGACAGTGCAGCTTTGGGGTGTGAGGTGTTGGGGAACATGGACAGTCATGCATGAGATGGCACAGGTGGCTGACGTGTCCCTGCATCCCTTCCCCAGGTGGTGGCCATCGTGATGGACGTTTTCACAGACGTGGATCTACTGTTTGAGGTGCTGGATGCTGCTTCTCGACGAGTGCCTGTCTACATCCTGCTGGATGAAATGAACTCCCAGCTTTTCCTTGATACAGCTGCCAAGTGCAGAGTCAACCTGAACTATGTGGAGGTGAGCAAAGACCTGCCCTGCTTGAGTCATGTCCTGAGGCAGATGTGTCCTGGGACACAGAAGGCTAGTGTGGCAGGAAACACCTGAGAAAGGGGAAAACAGGCCAGAGCTGGTAAAAGATGAATGTGAAGAAAGAGGGGAGAGCTGGCATGACAAGGGGTAAAGGCTGAGGACACACTGATAAAGTTTTGTCCATCTGTGTGTCTGCAGGCAGAATCACTAGAGCTGTAGGATAATCCTGGTGGCAGGACGGAGGTTAAAGGAGAGGGGGAAGGAGGAGGGGCAGGGGAGGGAATGAGGGTCCCACCTGAGTCAGTGCCTTTCTGGTTTGCAGTTCCTGAGGGTGAGGACAGTGTCTGGCCCAACTTACTACTGCCGCACGGGGATGTCCTTCAAAGGGCACCTGAAGGAGAAGTTCCTGCTGGTGGACTGCATGGTGGTACTCAGTGGCAACTACAGGTGAGGAGCCCTGTCATGGTACCTGTCCTTTGGTGAGAGACTCAGGTGCTTTGTGCAAGGGGTTGCCTACAGAGGTGCCCAGCTCCCATCTGAGCCATGTAACTTCCAAGGAGAATTTGCTGTAGTGTATGGAGACTTGCATCCTAGTCTGGAACAAATGAACTTCGACCTCCACTCATACAATCATCAAATCATGGAATGGTTTGTGTGAGAATGGACCTTAAAGCTCATCTTGTCCCACCCCCTGCCATGTGCAGGGACACCTTCCACTAGACCAGGTTGCTCCAAGCCCTGTCCAACCTGGCCTGGAACACTTCCAGCGATGGGGCAGCCACAGCTTCTCTGGGCAACAGAGAGGTGGATGGTTTTAGTTAGGATGGAGATCAGCCATTAACATGTTACCATTCTTTTGGAACAACAATCTCCCCAGCTAAGGCATCCATTTTTGGCAGAATAAATGTTTTTAGTGAGTTCCAATATGAGAATTTCTCTTTCAAGTATTAAGGCGTGATGGGATAAACACCTGTCATGCTCTAAGCATGTAATCACAGAACCGCAGAATGGTTTAGGTTGAAGGGACCTTAAAGCTCATCTGGTTTCACCCCCTGCTCTTGGCAGGGAGACCTTCCACTACACCAGGTTGCTCAAAGCCTGCCACGAGTTGCTTCTCATGGTGGAAGATAAGCAAATAGAACTACGGGTATTTTAAAAAACAGTATATGAAGATAAACATCCACAGTATAGGCATCTGAATAAAGTGCACATTCTTTGTAACAAGATTCCACTTGAGCTTTTTTCCTGATGTTTGGAAAGAATTATTGTCAAACTTGATGCTGTACCAAACAACTAACTGTTCCAATTGAATCATTTTTTGCTTATGAGAGCATCAAGTTAATTGTTCAAGACTACTTCTGCCACACTCTCATGTGCTTTGGGTTTTCAAATATTGTATCATTTTTGAAGTAGGAAGTTGTGGAAGTGTTCAAATACAGGTTGGACAGGGCTTGGAGCAGCCTGGGCTAGTGGAAGGTGTCCCTGCCCATGGCAGGAGAGTGGAACAAGGTGGTTGCGATGGTCCCTTCCAGCCCAAATCAGTCTGGCATTCTATAAGAGAAGCTGGTGAGTTGGTGAAGCAGCATTTTGCAATTCCACATGGATATCAGGGACAAAAGTTTTCCTCACTGAAGGATACTGAGCAGCAATTTTTCAGGAAAAGTACACCATATTGCAATGGAGGTCAATACACCAATTAAAGAAGTCCTCGACCCCAGACACCCCAAGCCAGGCTTCCTTCACATCAAGAATTAAAAAATCTATAAAAAAAAGACAATAATTTTAAGGGTTTTGCTTAACCCCAGCAGGCAGCTAAACCCCACACAGGTGTCCCTCACACCTCCTAGCAGGATACAGCAGAGAATCTGAAACATGAGAACGCTCCTGGGTTGTGATACAGTTTAACACCTACAGCAAACAGGCACACACAGGCAAAGCAAAGTAAGGGATCTCTTCCCTGCTTCCCACGGGTCGGCAGATATCCAGCCATTCCCAGAAAAGCAGAGCTTGACTTGGGAAGACAAAGGCTGTAACACTGAACATCTTCCTCCCTCATTTCCAGCCCAGCTCCTTCTGTCCAGTCCCCCCTAGCCTATGTGGGTGGAAGGGTTGTGCCACTGCAGGGGCAAGATCCTGCATTTGCCTCTGCTCGATTTCCTGAGGTTCCCATTGGCACAGCTCCCCAGCCTTTGGGGTCCCCTGACTGGTGTCACCTGCCAAGTGCAGAGGGCACACACTGACTGTTGTCCCAGTCATTATCGACAGTGTTAAAGACAGAAACATCTACTTCACATAACAATAATCATCCCCTCATTCTCTGGCTGTGGACACTACTGACTGGCTTTTTAGAACAGAAGTCATTTGTTGCCTTGTAAAATCCTCTGCAAAGATGTGATCCCAAATCAATACCTAACTGTGAGGTTAGGGAACGATCATGTGTAACAAGTGGCTACAGGGGAATTTTCTGTCATTATTTTGCCATATTTCTACCTGAGCAGAAAATTCAGAATTTCCTTCAGGCAAGCAAACGCTTTAATGAAAAGGGGTACGGCTGAGTTACTCAATGCTAATACCCTCCATCACTTCTGTTCTCTCCGTAGTTTCATGTGGTCCTTCGAGAAGATCCACAGGAGCATCGCGCACATCTTCCAGGGCGAGCTGGTGGCCAGCTTTGATGAGGAATTCCGCATTTTGTTTGCACAGTCGGAACCTCTCGTTCCTCCAGCCAATGTCCTGGCAAAGGCAGAGAATGCCTTCGCCATGGCTCCCTTTGGCAATAACATGCCTTTCTTTCCCAAAAAAGGCCCCCTGATGTTCCAGAGGGATGACAGTCTCTTCCCCTCCTTCATGGACAGAGTGGATCCGGACAGGTACTTCCTCTCCAATTTTCGGCGGGATGACATGCTGCGGCACACCGTGGAGGGGTCAGCCATGCGGATGTATAAAAAGGTGGAAATGGAGAATTCCCAGATGGATCCGGTCAGGGGCTTCCTCCGTTCCAAGCAGCTAGAGCTGGATGCCTTTAAGAGACACAGTTTTGCAGAAGGAACATTTGAAAATTTTGCTTCTTCCAAGCAGTATGCCCGGCAGATGTTCATGAACAACATGGATGAGTTCAAAATCCAATCCAGTCATTTCCAGAAGGACCAGTTCTACCAGTACCAGTTTGAACATCCCCATCTCTCTGGCAGACCTCAGGGATTCTTTGACAGGATTCGAGGGGGAAGGCCGGGATTCAATGAACTGGAAGACTATGGAGAGGGACCCCGATACCCTGAACTGGAACCCAGTTTCTCACAGGAAGGTTTCCCCTTACGGCTGGATTACGTACCCTCAAATTCTTCCAGGGAGGTGAGACACGGCTCCGACCAGCTGAACCCTGCAGGCAATGGCCCGATGGGAATGATGTTACGGAGGCAGAATATAGGACAGAAATTCATTTGCCAGACTTCTCCCACGCAGAAGCAGAGCCTGGAGCAGCGCTTGTTCCTACAGGACAAGGACGAGGACCAGGACGATGACAAGAACACACAGGAAAACAGAACAGGGTTACGGAACTGGAGGATATCTTCGTACCTCAGCGCGTACCAGTCTGAACCGGATGAAGGGCTCCCAATGCCGATGGAGTCCGAGGCGTATAATGATGCTCTTGGGGATCCCCTCCCAAAGCACCCCGCTGACCTCATCCCAGCCTTCAAATCCCCCACATCTTTCAATAGCAAGGCACTGGGAATTGACAGTGCCAAGGAATTTGCGGATCCTGATAGAGCAGGTGAAGAAACCTCGATAATGAAACCAGATGCCTTCAGGTCCAGGATAAATCCCTTGATCCAGAGGAGTTCCAGGCTCAGGTCCTCTCTGATTTTCAGTGCTGCCAAATTAGATCAGCCCAACACCACAATAGAAAAGGTGCAGATGATCCAAAAAGAGCAGATGTCCAGTGAGGTGACGAAGGACAATGAAACCATCAAGACGGCCACCTCCTCCAAAGTGGCTGAGCTGCTGGAGAAGTACAAAGCCGTGGGCAAGGACACAGAGCGGGGCACAGTCACCCACACCAAAGCTGTTTCAGGTTACCTACAGGAGGAATCACAGAACACGGAGAAGAAATGTACCAAATCCGTGCAATATAAGATTCTGGAGAGCAGGGTGCTGGACTCCAAAGACTCCTGCAGTACTTACAAAATGCACGGAGAGTTGGACAGAGCATTCGGAATGGCCTCATCCACCCCCCAGCTTGGGGATGCATTGAGTAAGGATCCCCTGGCACATCTTGGCACTAAGGTGGACAAGCTGTCATCTCGGTTTTACCCGATTGAGAACAAACCTGCTCTTCCAGAGAAGGAGAGTCTGATATATGTAGGAGACACTCAGAAATTGGCTCTTCCAGAGAAGAAGGACAGGGTGACCTTCAGAGAAGACACTCCAAAGTTAGTCAACACAGAAATGAAGAAACCACAAGTTAGGACAAGTACCACATCCTCAGCTCTGGAAAGCCTGTCTAGGAGTCCAGGGTCTGACAGCTCTCTCAATAAATCTGAGGAAGACTGTTCAAAACAAGAGCAAAATCCCATGGAATTTTTAAGAAAAGGGTCACTACGACTGAAGCAGCTTTTAAACCCAAAAGGTGAAAAGAAGTTTGAGGAGGAACCCGCTTCTGAGAGTGGAAAATGTGACAAGCAGGCAGTGGTGCTCAAACGATCGTCCATAGGGGACTGCCAGGAAGCAATGGAAGAAGAAAAATCCCACAAATTCGCAGCACCGCTCCCCCCCAAGAGCAGCCAGACAACGCAGGGGAGGTTCCCTTCCTCCACAGCCAACATCCTGTACAGCAGCAACCTGCGTGACGACACCAAGGTGATCCTGGAGCAGATCTCTGCCAACAGCCAGAAGAACAGAGCCGAGCTGGCCAAGCAGCTGCCATCCACCAGCAACCCTGACCTCTCCAGGTCAACCATGAGCTTGGAAAGAAAAGGGGAGAAGGAGAAAAGCTGCAACATCCACAGGTCGGAGAGCTTTGGGAGCCAGAAACGGAACTTCCAGCGGCAGCCGTCGGAGGACAGAGACACCCTCCTGAAAAAAATGGAGAACATGCGGAAGGAGAAGCGAGTCTACAGCAGGTTCGAGGTGTTCTGCAAGAAGGACGAACACACGAGTCCGAGTGAAGAGGAATATGACACAGATGCCAAAGACAAGAAGATGGGAAAATTCATGCCCAAAATCCTGGGGACCTTCAAGACCAAAAAATGATCGTAAAAATCCTATTTAATTCCATTTAATCACTGACTGTCACAGGGGAAGGAGGAAGAAACTTGTTTATGATGACTACAAACCCCACAGGCAATGCTCTTCTGGGTAAGTGAGCAGAAACATGTCCAGCATGAGCCTCCCACGGCACAGTTCGCTCCATAAAGTCAGGTGGTATCAAACAACCTTATTACACTATGTTCCTAATAAAATTATTGAACTGCCAACATGCTTAAAACACAGAAGTCTCTTTTTTTAAAAGAAGTCTCTGTTCTGTTACTGTACAGAACTGAAAGTCTCTGTTACACCCAAGGAATATTTTTCAGCTGACAAAACAATTCTACTTTTGGAAGAAAAGAATAAAAAATAGAAAATTCAATACTTGAGTTCAGGCCAGGAAAGATAAATACACACAGAGACACACATACATTAACTGGAAAAAGTGTTTAAAGCCTGTTGTTTCTCAGGTACAGTTATCCTTTCTCTGTAGCTCACAATGAATCAGTCACAGGAGGCATCTTTTTGAAGGTTTGCAGACCAAAAAAATATTGTAACCAACTTTTTGCCCTAATCTGTGACTCCGGTCTTGTCCAGCGGCACAGGCCCAGCTTTTGTATTTACCAGTTCCTGAGCCTGTGGGATCTGGTTTGCTTGAGGTTTGTTCTCCTGTGTGTAGGGAATTATTTGCTTTAAGGACTCAGCTGAAGGAGCAGCTGAAAAGGCCATAAAAAGGACACTGAAGTGCTATTGATGGAGATGGGCCTGGTTTTAGGAGGCCTTTTCGGCTTGAGGAAACAGCCTCAAGTTGTGCCAGGGGAGGTTTAGGTTGGATATTTGGAAAATTCCTTCCAAAACCCTGGAAAGGATTGTCCAGTCCTGACATAGGCTGCCCACGGCACTAGTGGAGTCTTTGAAACTTGAACTTTTCCTGGGATGCCAGCTCCCAGGGCAGCAGGCTGGACTTACGTATTTATAACAGTTAATGATTATTTTACTGTTTGCTGAAAACCTTGGGAACTGGATGTGCAGAATGACTGTCTGATCTGAAAAAAAAAATTAAGGTTGATTTCCATTTTAATACAAATGGTGGTAAAAATCTGCAGGAATCAAGAGCAGCTTTGTTGTAACATGAGGAGGTACACTGAGCAATAAAATTAGGAGAGGACAAAAGAGGAAAAAAAGGATGGGAAAAGGGGCCAAAATTGGGAAAAAAGTAGAAATGGATTTCTTATACCCATTTCATATTATCACAAAATCACAGGATGGTTTGTGTGGGAAGAGACCTTAAAGACCATCTGGCCCCACCCCCTGCCACGGGCAGGGACACCTCCCACTAGCCCAGGTTGCTCCAAGCCCCATCCAGCCTGGCCTTGGACACTTCCAGGGATGGGGCAGCCACAGCTTCTCTGGGAAACCTGTGCCAGGAACTGAGCACCCTCACAGGGAAGAATTTCTTCACAATATCTTTTCTAAATATCTCCTCTTTTAGTTTAAAACTGAACATTGTGACCCATCTCAGATACAGCCCATGATCTTTTATACATGTCCACAGCCATAAATGAGTTATTTTGTCTGCTCTGATTAATCAATCAGATTGAGTTATTGATGGGTCCCAAAATGAACTGCAGTGGCCGACAGTTGTTCTCTGTCAGCCAATACAGATTATTTTACTCTAGAGAGGTATGTGCATATATATTCTAGCTCTGTTTGTGCAATTCTTACATCATTCCACACCTCCCCAGCCCTTCCCAAACCCACCTGCTCCAGCCTCGTTCTGTAACAGACAAATTTGGAATTTATTTCTGCAGTGACAGGCTACATTAGCAATTTAGAATTTTGCTGTACTTATTTAGATGTTTAGGATTTTCTCTTGCTCAGGTGGAACATGTGCTTCTGCCCAGAGCCCGAGTGACACAGCTCTGCTGGTGACAGGTAGGTGACCAATTGCTGCAGGTGGCACAACCAACTATTGCAGAAGAACCAATTCCCTTGGCAGCAACTAAAGTCACTCTAAGAACAACTTGTTGGTGTTCCAGCCCAGCTACTCTCAGTCTGGGATGGGGGTCACAGAGGACCTTGGCTGTCATGCTGTGAGGGGCCAGGATCCAGGGGAGGTCACAGCTGGAATTGGGTGCCCTTCTCTCTCAAATGCCCCCCAACCAGCATTGGGACTCTCGGGAGCCAACCCACTGCTCAGAGCTCTGCCCACACCACAGGCTCACCTGGCACTGCCACTCCTACATCTCCCTGGACCTCAGACAGGCAGGAAACACCTGTACTATGAATATACCACAGTAAGCCTGGACTTCCCTGTGAGCTGCACTTCCTGGCTCCCTCCTGTTACCAGACTCCAGTGACCACACCTGCGACCAAGGGGAAGGCATTAATTTTTAATTAAGTAGCCTTGGGTGTTTAGACACCAGAAGATAAAATGGCAATTCAGCCAATGGCAGTGGTACTCACATGCTGGAATTCAGCACCTGAATCCCCTTGGTAACTGTAGTTCCAATGTTCTGGAATAACAATCATTTATCACAGGTGGAGTAAAACTTCAGGGACACAGACAAGAACTTCAAGTTAATGAGGAGAATGTATCCAAAATCCGCATTAAAACAGGAATATAAAGTTTCCTGTAGTCCCACTGTAGCCTGGTAACACCTTCACGATGTCTCAGCAATAGTATCTCATGGAACTCTGCTTTCTTAAAGCAAAAACAAAACAAAAAAAGACCAATTATTCATTGAAGACAGCCTTACCAACAGGTACTTTCCCTCTCAACACAGTGAATGCTGACTGAAAGACAAAGATTTTTTGTGGTGCAATATAAACTATTTATTAGTGCAATATTTACAATATTACATGGTAGGGAAGCTGTTAGATACTGTAGCAGAGCCCACCTGTGTTTCAAATGCTTTCCTACTTGATTTTATCAAAAATAAACCACAATGGTTTTGTTTATTTACCCCAGAAGAGTCATAGAAATGAGTGGAAATCAGAATGAAGGGCTGTAAGATCTGTGAAGAGTTTGATCTCCACGGTCTTCAGAGAACAGTTACCTGCTCTGTTCAAAAACAATCCACATTTAGGTAGACTGCTGAAGAATCCTGGAATGGCTTAGGAAGGGACCTTTTAAAGGTCATCCAGTCCCACTCCTCTGCCATAGGAAGGGACACCTTCCAGTAGACCAAGTTCCCCCAAGCCCCTTTCGACCTGGCCTTGGACACTTCCAGGGATGGGGCAGCCACAGCTTCTCTGGGCAACCTGTGCCAGGACCTCACCATCCTCACATGGAAGAATTCCTTCCCAGTATCCCATCTAACCCTGCCCTCTGTCTGTGGGAAGCCATTGACCTTTTCCCTGTCACTCCAGGCCTTTGTTCCAAGTCCCTCTCCAGCTCTCCTGGAGCCCCTTTAGGCTCTGGAAGGGGCTCTCAGCTCTCCCTGGAGCCTTCTCCAGGTGAACACCCCCAGCTCACCCAGCCTGGCTCCAGAGCAGAGGGGCTCCAGCCTTCAGAGCATTTTCTTGGCCTCGCACTTGGCCTTGCTGAAATTCAGGAGGTTCCCCTGGGCCCTGAATATGTCTAAAACCACTCAAGTATTAGAATATTGCAGTTTTCTGTAATTTTTTTGTGACAATTCAAACAAGAAGCATGACCTGACAGTGTTCACTGCTCTCACAAGTGTGGGAGCAAACATGCTGTGCCCTTGTCTGGTGAGACTGGAAGGCAGATGGGTTGGATTCCCTTTCCTGTTGGCTTGTCCAGAGGAAAGGAGGATATTGTCCCATGCTGTGACTAAAGCATTTCCTCATATTTTGCTCTCTCTTGTTGTCCCTGCTCAGTCAGGGGCTGAGGGATGAGCTGTACTTCACCTGGCTGGAACGTCTCCACATTCACTCGGGGTTTTGGGAGGCCTTTGTTATCGGAAGACTCTGCAGCGCAGATTTACTGATGGTTCCATAGGCCTGGGAGTAGCTGCCCATCGATGCTCTTGGATCACCCGCAGCTCCCACATTTGCAGTGATCTGGAACATCTTTTTACTGGGCTTCAGAAGGGGACGAACATCTTTGCTGTGACACTGAGAGTTTCTGGGATTCTATGTGAGAAAGAAAAGCCAAGATAAGTTAATAAACTGGAATCAGCTTTCTGGAACGCAAATAGGACACAGGTTTGGCTTTCGTCAGCATTACCCTTTCAGTGAACAAACACAAGGCTCAGAGCACATGTTGGCTGATCTTCTCCCTATTCTGCTCTTCCCGTCACAGAAAGTTGGTCACAATTCCCTGAAGATTTTTCCAAATTCATTGGTCATGTGTACACATGCATGCACATCAAGCTCCACAATCCCATTTGGGGATTGGCTCCTCTCACTCCCCAAACCTATCCATTTTGGACAGGATTCCAAAGCAGAGGGGTTGAAAGGTGAGTTGCAAGTGGGCTCCTGGACATGCTTGGAGTTTCTGGCAACGTGGGCTAATGAAAGGTGTCCCTGCCCATGGCAGAGGGGTGGAATGAGACGAGTTTTAAGGTCCCTGCCAACCCAAACCAGTCTGTGATTCTGTGATACTATGAATCTGTGGTGCCTCCTTCCATACTCTGCCAATAAGCTTCCTCTGATCACTTGTGCAAGTGCCACAAGTCACCAGGCAACAGCCAGCCAGCTCAGGAACAGAAAAAGAAGTAATTAAAGAACCTAGCGAGGGTAAGGACTTTTATAAGGAAGCATGGCCAAGAACCAGGAAGAGAGAGGAGCAGAGAGGACAGGACTGACACCTTGCTCACTAACAGCAATCCATTAGAATCACGGAATCATCAAGTCACATAATCGTTTGGGTTGGAAAAGTCCTCTGAGCCCAAGTCCAGCTGCTCCCCAAGCACTGCCAAAGCTCCAACTAACCCACATCCCCAGGTGCAACATCCACATGGCTGTTAAACTCCTCCAGAGATGGGAACTCCACCACTGCCCTGGGCAACCTGTGTCAGGCCTGGACAGCCCTTTCCATGAAGGAATTTTTCCCAATATCCAACCTGAACCTCCTCTGGCACAACTTGAGGCCATTCCCTCTTGTCCTGTCCCTTGTTCCCCAGGAGCAGAGCCTGACCTCCACCTGGCTCCTCCCTCCTGTCAGGGGGTTGGAGAGAGTGAGAAGGTCCTCCCTGAGCGTCCTTTTCTCCAGGCTGAGCCCCCCAGCTCCCTCAGCTGCTCCTGGTGCTCCAGCCCCTTCCCCAGCTCCACTCTCTTCCACTGAAGAGCGTGAAAGACGCGCTCCTCAATGTCCTTCTTGTCGTGAGGAGGCCAAAACTGTCCCCAGGACTGGAGGTGCTTCAGCAGTGCCAGCACAGGGGACAGGCTCTGCCCTGGGCCTGTGGCCACACTGTGTCTGCTACAAGCCAGGAGCCACTGGCTCCTTACCCACCTGGGCACACCCGGGCTCATGTTCAGCCCCTGTCACCAGCACCCCCAGGAACTTTTCCAGCTTTCCAGCCACTCTATCCCAAGCCTGGAGCACCGCAGGGAGTTGTTGTGACCCAAGTTACCACAGGTAAGGGTTAGAAGTTAAGCTACTCACATTGTAAAGGTTCTGCACACTTGTAGGAGGGAGCCCAGTGTTTGTCCATGAGATTTGTCTCCCTAGTTTCCCACTGGTGGAGATTCTGGGTTGCTGAGGTGGTGCAGAAAAGTTCCTGATCCCAGCACCAGGATTTGCATTTCCTGCAGAAGGAAAAACATGAGAGAAAGAAAGAAAATCATGAGGACACAGAACACCCTGACTGAGGCAGGAACAGTCACACACCCAACACTCATTCAACAGTGTTTTGTTCTTATGTCATTTTCCTCCCACACTTTCACCCCCTCGTTTTACCATGCAAATTCCCCTCACTTCTTTTACAGCATTCAGTCTCTCTTCTCTCTTCCCCCCAACGATGCCCCATGGTGTGTCACATCCTGGTGTAGGAGGGTGGTACCTACTCTGCACAGTGGTGTGTGTGATGGGGTTGTACATCATCACACTGATCTGTGATCTCTGACACACAGTTCTGGCCAAATCCTTGCTCTGGCTGGATCCTGTTGGCTGGACTCCAGCTGTGGCTCCTGCATGCACATGTGAAGGGTTTAGGAGAGGAGGTGCTGGTTCTTGCTGGACTTTTCTGGTGGGTACAGTCACTGGGCTGAAATTTGGGAGAAGTGGGCTGGATTCAGACTGGCTCAGCTGAATGTTTTCTCTCCGCCCTCGCTCCTTTAGAAGGCTCCTTGATTTTTTTTCAAGGATCAACTGCAGAACAGAAAAGCTGGCTAGACTTAATGCAGCAATACAGCAGAGGAACAAAACATCAAAACAAAGAGGAATACTTGTAAATATCTGGAATTTATTTCACAGTAACAAGTATAATTTTGGAACTGGATGATCTTTAAGCTCCCTTCCAACCCTAACCATTCTGTGATTCTATGATTCTATGGCTGTTGGATCCAGCATAGTATATTTCCCTCTAACCCAGTCTTTCTCAGACATCATGCTTCAGAGACTTTTCCTTTCCCAAAGGGAATTTAGATTTAAAGGTCTCTAAAAGATTCTGACAGTATGGAACTGACCGACCAAACACTGAGGTGTAACTGTGTCAGCAGGTATGGACAGCCCAGGGAAATACAAAGACAAGACAACAGAATTTGTTAAGTGTGTGCAAGAATGGAAGGTTACCTGGAGGATTAGGATTTGGGAAAACAGGATGAAAGTACCTCATATAATTTATTTCGATATTCTGCCACAGACAGCTGGACATCATCACCCAAAGGAAGGACCACATTATAATCCAAAGAGGGCTCCCTGGAAGGACAGTGGAATCTAAAGAGATGAGAACACATCATGTACTTCACTGACTGAAAGCAGCACCACAGACTAACACTATTTAAACAGGATTGTTAAACAATCTCATGTAAATAGGGTTGGAGAAAATGAAGAATTAGCTTTGGGGTTTTTTTCTGTAATGCATTTAAAGAAGACTTGTGCCAGGAACAGGTTTGTAATGCCTCAGAAGACATCAGGGGAAGCTGCACACTGGTGTCACTCTCACCTGTTCACATAAGGATGCTGCAGAGCCTCCTCTGCTGTGAGCCGTTTGTCAGGGTTAAATACCAGAAGTTTCTTCAGCAGATCCAAGGCAGGTAGTGGAGTAGAGGATGGGAAAATCTCCTCAAATGTTACTCGCTGCCTAGAAGACAGAAAACAATAATATGAGTTCCCAGTGTCCAATTCCCAGTGAAGGCAGGAATGACAGTTACGGGGATCACGCCAAGGTGACATCTGACTCCAGAGTTCACTCACAAAGATAATCACTGGATCCTGGAATGGTTTGGGTGGGAAGGGACCTTGAAGCTTATCTCTTGCTAGCCCCACAATCCCACAAATTCAGACCTGAGACCACAGAAACACATTTCTGTGTAATTTGCAATGAGAAGATGAAGTTTGATAATCTGGTTTTGCATTTTGGAACCCTAAATATAATTGTGAACATAATCAACAAGAGAGTATCTTATACATTTGAAATATCAGTTTTAAAACCCAAATCTTACTTATATTTTAAATAATTTCTATTTAAGAAGAGACCTTAGAGTCCCTTCCACTGCCTAAAGGAGCTCCAAGAGAGCAACTCTGGGCAAGGGCTGGGAGTGACAGGACAAGAGGATGGGCTTCCCACTGGAAAAGTGGAGATTAAAATGGGATATTGGGAAGAAATCCTTGCCTGTGAGGATAAGGAGTGACTGGAATGGATTTCCTGGAGAAATGGTGGCTGCCCCACCCCTGGAAGTGTCCAGGTTGGACAGGGCTTAGAGCAACCTGGGATAGTGGGAGGTGTCCCATGGCAGGGGGTGGCATTGGATGGTCTTGAAGGTCACTTCCCACCCAAACCATTCTGGGATTCCACGATTCCATGGTCATACAGACACACCAACCCCCCAGGCTTACCGGGAACTCATGTGGTTAATAACTGAGGCCTTGTACTCTGACTGCAGAGCCACAATATCTGCAATAATAAAAAGGTACTGTTAATGCCAAGATGAGGATTACCTCCGAGAGCTACACAGTTTAGGAAGGAAAGCAAATATTATTGGATGTTAGCATAGGAAATTACTCTCATAACACATAATGGGAGATCTGTGGAAGGGGAATGGAATATTACAAATTTTCTAAGATTATTTCTGAATTTGTATTTATTAATCATAGACTTCATAAACCCGCACTCTCACACCCACAGAGGCAGAGGCACCAAGATATCTGAATTTCTTATCTTCCTCTACCACTAACATTCACAATTCAGTCTCTAATTTCCTTGGAAAGGTGCCAGAATGACCCACAAGAAATACCTTCTCCTCTTATCCATCTGGGCTGCTTTCTCCCCCTCTTTAATCCCTTCTCTCAATCCCTTTCCCCGCAGCAGAGTCCTACCTTCTGGGGACGGAGCAGGGATGACCCTTAGGATCTGTTCTATTTGATTCATTGTTGATGTTCCAGGGAAAAGAGGCTTCCCAAGCAGCATCTCTCCCAGAATACAGCCAATGCTCCACATGTCTACACCTTTAGTGTAACTATAAACAGGAACAGAACAGAGTTAGGATTAAATCAAGCAAGTATTTTCCTGTACCTGCTATTCACATCACCTACATTGATCTATTTTGCTAGAAAACATGCTTGGAGACTTCTCAGATACGAATGCTCACATTTGAACTATAAATTGAATGACATTTGGGAATCATGAGACTGGCAAGCATGAAACAGAAAAGAGATTTAGCCTACTCAAAGGCTAGTCTAGGAAACCATAAAAGGAAATATATAACAGAGAAATGCTAGAACAAGGCAATATATAAAAGGTAATGCCAGAAAAAGGTAATATATCCTTTTCATATGACCAAGAATGAAGATACATGTTGATCTTTGGAAACAACTGACTTTTCAAGGCATTATGTATGTATAAAGTAGTAAAATTTACATTTTTAAGCAAAGTAAACACCATACAATGGGTATAGGACAGTTTGCAAAACATCCACATTTAAATTCGGGATACTACCTCAGCCTCTATTTATTTACTTTTCTGATTTTTCATCTTTAAGTCAAGAAAGGGACTAAGCCTGACTAACAGGCAGCTGGTTTAATGTTTGATTACAGAGTATTTCCTGCAGATCTATCAAAAACCACTCCTTCAATTTTGAAAGGAGGACTTATGTTCTCAAGCAAATTTTGTAAAGATGTGGGTTTAAAGGGAGAAAGAATAAGTCTAGTGGGAGAAAGGGTGACAAGCAGATAAGCTGCTCACGTATGTATATGAACACTCTAAGAACACAGGAAGGACGCGTACATAAAAACATGAGAGGTTTTATGTTGCAGAACTGAAGTTTAAATGTATATTGAGAAAACAGACTGACACGACATTGCATCCAGTGACATCCAAAACTGACACATTTAAGACTTTTAGACAATCAGTTTTCCCAGTGGTGAAGAAGTTCCAGACTCCCAGCCCTTCGCTCACCTGCGAGAGGCCAGGAGGATCTCGGGGGCGCGGTACCAGCGCGTGGCCACGTACTCGGTCAGCGCGGGGCTGGGCTGCTCCTCGCCCTGCTGGCACAGGGAACGGGCCAGCCCGAAGTCACACAGCTTCACACAGCACTCTGCATCCAGCAGGATATTGGAAGGCTGCATTGAACACAGGAGAATTAATTGGCTTTTGACTCTCTCAATAGTAGAAGAATATTATCAAGGTTCCTTTATTAGTCTCATGCTTGCATACTTTTTCACACTTTTCCTATGGAGCCAGGCCGGGAGAGCTGGGGGCGTTCAGCCTGGAGAAGAAGAGGCTCTCGGAAGACCTTAGAGCTCCTTCCAGAGCCTAAAGGGGCTCCAGGAGAGATGGAGAGGGATTTTGGACATGAGCCTGGAGGGACAGGAAAAAGGGCAATGGCTTCCCACGGACAGAGGGCAGGGTTAGATGGGATACTGGGAAGAAATTTCTCCATGTGAGGATGGTGAGGCCCTGGCACAGGTTGCCCAGAGAAGCTGTGGCTGCCCCATCCCTGGAAGTGTCCAAGGCCAGGTTGGATGGGGCTTAAAGCGACCTGGGATAGTGGAAGATGTCCCTGTCCATGGCAGAGGAGTGGGACTGGATGACCTTTAAAAGGTCCCTTCCATCTCAAATCAGTCTGTGATTTTATTTAGTGTTTGACAGAAAACTGGAGTGAAGGCTACAGACAATGACTGAAATGTACCTTCTGATCCCTGTGAATGACATTCCCCGAGTGGATGAATTTAGTTGCCTTCAGGAGCTGGTAGAGAATGTAACACTTGTGGATGTCTTTCAGCAAATTCCCCTTCTTAATAACAGCATGTAAATCTGTCTCTGTAATATATTACAGCAGTAATATATTTACATCAGTAAAGATCAGTAATATCATGAATGTTCATGTAAATCACCAGCACACCACTATTAAAGTGGGAATAAGGATAACTCCGAAGAGAGGCTGGATTTGAGTGGCTGCTGCAATGCTGAGTCTCACCCATGGACTCGAAGATGAGGTAGATATCCTTGTCATTCTCAGCTTGGATAACATCGAGCAGCTTGATGATATTTGGATGTTCTCCAAATTCCTGTGCAGGGAAGAGACCCAGCTGTCAAAATCACATGTTTTGCTTGTGAATCATAAAAAGGGACAATAACCTATTTTAGTTTGTATTATTGTCTAGAACAAACATTAATATGCTGTTTCCTCGATTAGGCTTCTTCTGAAATAAACTTGAAAAAAGAATTTAAGCTTCTTCCATAGTATGAAACCAGCCAGTTAATCTGAAAAATAATCTCTGTTGACTGAAACATTGGTTCTAAAAATCCCTCTATACCACTTAAAACAAATTCCTTTCTGATCCCTCAGTCTTGAACCTCAAGAAAGATGTATAAAATAGGAGGGGAAACTAAAATTCTTTAGTCTGCTGAGCCCCAAAAGTCACAGAAGTACAGGCTGAACAGCACATTAACTTCCCTCCCCAGCCCCCTGCTGCCAAATGACTCCGTCTTTCCTTCAGGAGAAATATCCTTCTTTTCCCTGCTCCTCCTCCACCCATCTGCTCCGGAAGTGCTGCACTTTCAGAGATGATCGAACTTACAGGTAATTTACTTCTAAGGAATTGTTTATATTTTTAGCTTTTAAGTTTGCAGCTTCTATTTCAGGCTTCAGGAATGACTAAAAAGTAAAAAAACCTCATCTCTTTACTACTTAAAGTTGGCAGTCTTAGGAAATACCTATTCCATGAGCCCTGTCTCACTTGTGTCCTTAGAAATAACATTATTTCAAAATATTGATGTTTCTACATGGACAAATAATTATAATGCCACTGATAAGGTCAATTATATCACAACAAGAGCAGTTTTAAGTTACTCCTTGCAGATCTTCCCTTTTTGTTTTGCTTTGATTATTTTAAGTGATCAAATTGCTTCCCACATGATGGGGAAAAGTAAATTTGGCATCCCCCATCCCAGCCCCCCTCTGATCATGGCAGTTAAAACGTTAAGAGAAACAGTTTACGTCCATAAAGAAGCAAGAAGTGACAGAAAGTGAAAGTCTACCTGTTGATGCTGCAGGAGACACATTGCTAAAAATGTGGAAAGAGCAGGAAAGAGTAAAAACAAGCGCAAATGGAGTGTGTTTCATTCAGGTGGGTTTGCCCTGAAAGGCTCTTTGCCAAGATGGTGCAGAAAAAACATTAAAGAGTTGTCAACACTAATCACTGATCACTGCATTTTGGAAAACAATGGGAAGAAAATATGTGGACATCAGAGATAATAAAAAATCAGAGTGGAGGAGGAACATGGACATTACCTGCAGGAACATAATCTCTCGAAACGTTCTCTGGAAATAAAGAAAAAGTAGTTTATTATCACCTCAAGAGAATGGCAAGGGATGCACTTCAATGAGAGGGTTAAATCCACTCCTCTTTTGTAGATGCCACAATACACAAAGCCTGACATTTATTGTTCCTTTTTATCCCAATATAGCTGCAGACTGTATTATTACATGCATAATTATCATCTTTCAGAGACAAAACTCTTGAAAATACCTATGGAATCCCACCACATCTCACAACACATCAGGACAAGGATTTCTCACCTGAGCATCTGTCCTGTTTCTGAAAGCATCAAAAATCTTTTTAACAGCAACTATTTCTCCTGTCCTGCGGTCGATTGCTTTCCAGACGATGCCGTAGGCCTGGGGAGAAACACAGACAGGTGAGCAGTGTGCTGACACCCTGTCCCAGCTCAGGCCTGCAGCGGAGCCAGAATGGACTCAACAAAGGACTGGAAGAGAGGTGATCACTCGCTACCTGGAAGAGAGAGAGAGATCAGGCCCCTCTGCTCTGGAGCAAGGCTGGGAGAGCTGGGACCTTCCAGCCTGGAGAAGAGAAGGCTCCGGGGAGACCTTAGAGCCTTCCCAGTGCCTAAAGGGGCTCCGGGAGAGCTGGAGGGGGACTTTGGACAAGGGATGGAGGGACAGGACAAGGGGGAAGGGATTCCTACTAGAAAAGCAGGGATGTACATGAGATATTGGAAAGAAACCTTTGCCTGTGAGTGTAGTGAGAGACTGGAATGGATTTCCTGGAGAAACTGTAGCTGCCCCATCCCTGGAAGTGTCCAAGGCCAGGTTGGATGGGGCTCTGAGCAAACTGGTCTAGTGAAAGGTGTTCTTGCCTATGGCAAGGGGGTGAAATGAGATGATCTTTAAGGTTACTTCCCACCCAAACCATTCTGTCTTTCCATGATTCTGTGGATGGAGACTGGCCCTGAGAAGAAGGACTTGGGGGTGCTGGTGGATGAAAAACTGGATGTGAGCTGACAACATGCACTAGCAGCCCAGAGAGTCAATCATGTCCTGGGCTGCATCAAAAGAAGGACAACCAGGGGATCAGGCCCAGCCAGCCTGGGGTTGTAACAGGCAGGTACTGCCTGACTAACCCGATCTCCCTCTGTGACAGGGTCACCCCCTCAGTGGCTGAGGGAAAGGCTGTGAATGTGTCTGCCTGGACTCTAGTAGAGCTCTGACAGCGTTTCCCACAACATTCTCCAGGAGAACCTGGCTGCTCCTGGTCTGGACAGGCGCACTGTTTGCTCGGTAACACCCGGCTGATAGCCAGTCCCAGAGAGTGGTGGGAAATGGGGCTGGGCACCAGTGGGGTTCCCCAGGCTCAGTACTGGGGCCAGTCCTGTTTAATGTCTTTATTGACTCTCTGGACAAGGGGACTGAGGGCACTTCAGTCAGTTCGCAGAGGACACCAGACTGGGTGGGAGTGTGGATCTGCCAGAGGGCAGAAACCTCTGCAGGGGTGTCTGGGAAGGCTGGATCAATGGGAGGGAATCGATGGGCCAAAGCCAATGGTGTGAGGATCCACAAGGTCCTGCCCTTGGGTCACAACAAGCCCATGAAATGCTCAAGCCTTGGGACAGAGCAGCTGGAAAGCTGGAAAAGAACCTAGAGGTGCTGGTGACAGTGGCTGAACAGGAGCTCAGGTGTACCCAGGTGGGCAAGAGGCCAATGGCACCTGGCCTGTGCCAGCAACAGTGTGGTCAGCAGGTTGAGAGAGGTAATTCTTCCCCTGTACTCAAGTTTGGTGAGATCCCACCTGGAGCACTGCATCCAGCTTGGAGCTCCTCAGTACAAGAAAGACATGGACCAGCTTGAGCAGGTCCAGAGGAGGCCATGGAGATTCTCTGAGGGCTGGAGCCCCTCTGCTCTGGAGCCAGGCTGGGACAGCTGGGGGGGTTCGCCTGGAGAAGAAAAGGCTCCAGGGAGACCTTATTGTGGCCTTTCAATACTTAAAGGGGGCTGAAAAGAAGGATGGAGAGAGACTTGTTACCAATGTCTGTAGTAACAGTATCACGGCATCACAGAATTGCTGAGGTTGGAAAAGCCCTCCGAGACCATGGGGTCCAACCACTAATGCAGCACTGCCAGGTCCAACATTAAACCTTTTTTTTTTTTTAATTAAAAACTGTACTATCTATTAGGGGAATGGGAACTTCTACCAGAGTTTTCCCTGTTCTGGATGACTGTGATACTTGCAAATGGTGATTGCTCAGTCTTACTTGTGGTAGAGATCCCATTTCCTTATTTTAGGTCATGGATTTGCACCTTGACTTTCCACATTCTAGGAGCTGCTTTACCTCGGCACGAGGGGATCATGCCCCACTCAGAAAGGCCCAGTTAATGTTTAAGTACTTGTACAAAGCAAAACAGCTGCAATATGTGATAGTGAGTGACTCTAGCGATTAAATACTCTTACAGTGAGTATCATGACATTGAGGCAGACTTCCCAGGAACATGTGTGGTCCTGGAGCATAGGTTCAGGACATTTGCCATGCATCAGGCAGTTGTACAAGTACCTCAGGTAAGTGCTACAGTACTTCCCTGTTGGCAACTGGGATTTATCTTTTTTTCTCCAAGTAACACTCCAAGTGACAGGACAAGAGGAAACAGCCTCAAATTGTGCCGGGGAGGTTTAGGTTGGACATGGAGAAAATTCCTCATGGAAAGGGCTGTCCAGCCCTGGCCCAGGCTGCACAGGGCAAGGGTGGAGTTCCCATCCCTGGGGGGTTTAACAGCCGTGTGGACGTGGCACTTGGAGACACGGGTTAGTGGAGGCCTTGGCAGTGCCAGGGGAGTGGTTGGACTCAATGGGCTCAGAGGCTTTTCCAACCCAAATGATTTCATAATTCTATGAAGCAAATGGTCCTCTCTCACATGACCCCTTGTAATTGCGCATGAAATACTTAAACACTCATATCAATGCAACTAAACAACGACAAAGAGCTGCCAGAATAGAAATGCAGATAATTGAGGAAGGTTTGGAGACTGTCTGAGGAGAAATATCTTAGAAATTACCACTGGCTCATGTACAGAAATATATTTCACGGAGAAGACATGACTTGATGCAGCATGACCTGTGAAGTGAGAGGGTTACAGGAAATGCAGAAAGATTTAGCAGGCACAGAGAGAATGTACTTTGAGACTCGGATCCATTTTACCATTTACTCCCGAGCTCCCATGCCCCTCCCCCCGAGTTCCCCCGGGTCACCTGGAGCTCCCACGGAGCCCTGAGCTCCAGACAGGACCCCTGAGCTCCCACAGGCACCTGAATTCGCCTGGGGCCCCTCAGCTCCCCGGGCCACCTGGAGCTCACTCAGGGCCCTGAACTCCACACGGGCCCGACGAGCTCCCACGGGCCCGAAGAGCTCCCACGGGCCCGACGAGCTCCCACGGGCCCCCGGGCACTCACCCCCTTGCCCAGGCGCCTCTTGATCTCGTACTTCTGGCACACGAGCGGCTCCACCTCGGGCGGGCTCATGGCGGCGCCTCCCTGTTGGCTCCCGCTGCCATGGAAACGGCCCCGCGCCCCGCGCACGCGCAGCGGTACCGCGGGCGGCCGCCGGGCGGCGCCCTGACCCGGCACGGAGGCGGAATGGAGGAGCAGGGGGGGAACGTGGCGCCCCACTGAGGCGTGTGGGAGAGATAAAGGGAGGAGCAGGGGGGGAACATGGCGCCCCACTGAGGCGTGTGGGAGAGATAAAGGGAGGAGCAGGGGGGGAACATGGCGCCCCACTGAGGCGTGTGGGAGAGATAAAGGGAGGAGCAGGGGGGGAACGTGGCGCCCCACTGAGGCGTGTGGGAGAGATAAAGGGGGGAGCGTGGGAGACATGGCATCCCTTTTGGGGACACCTGGGACGTGTGGGACAGACAAAGGAGGATGCAATAAAAACAAACTAATTTCTTGAAGGGATCATAAGTATGAATATTCATAAAAAACTTAAGACAGAAGCCATGGTAATTTCTTCCACAAGTTTTCATTTGAAGGAGATAAACCCGAAGACCTGTAATACCTGACGCTGTATACGTGCAACAGCTACAGGTAAGGGATGGATGCCAGGATTTAAATTTTGGATATGAGTAACATGCTGATGTTAGAAATGAGTGTTGGGAGATCATGATGTACCCTTGTTACAGTGAGTGTTATACCAGAGTTAGGTCACAGGAACACAAATGCTTTTAATTTATAACGAATTACACAAACATAGTATTTGAGTTATGCTCAGTGCCTACACTGTCAAACTCAAAACGTGGTTTGGGTTTGGACAGTCTGGTTCAATGCTGACATTTCAAAACCCTGCAGCATACGAGTAGTGCATCACAGTCTGTTCAGATCACCGCGGAACCCTGAAATTTCTTATGCTTTAAGTTTGAAGCATGGAATTCTGCTCTTCACTGCTTTGTGCCACCTGTAAAGTCTCAGTTTTAGGAGACTGAGGTAAAGTGGGTAGCTTTTTAGTATATCCAGTGAATTATTAACCATTGTGTAAAGGGAATACCATGCTAGAGGGCAGGATGAACAACGAAACCCTGAGTATTACCCTAAAATATAATGTTTTTTTAGACTTGCTGGTGCCTAATTTTACTCTAGCATGGAAAAAAACCCCAGTTGCTTCATCTAGTCTACAGTTCTGGGAAGTGTCAGGTTATAATGATCGGGGGGTTTTCTCATGTTTGCAGGAGATGTGACTTAAATCCTGAACAACCGAATATATTGCAGGAGGATCAGCTGGAACGTTTCAAGAAAGAATTTCCAGAGTGGAAAAGCCGTGTGTTCCACAGTCAGCCATTTAAATCCATATCTCCACGTAAATGTCATGTAGTTGCCTGGAAGAGAAATCTATAGATAACTTGAAGAGTGTTCAAATGCAGAAGGATTAATTGTAGGTGGAATGCTGGTTTGTATCTGTTTAACTTTCACCATTGGAACAGTTCTGTCTGTGCCTTCTGGTTGGTTCATTTTATTTTTAAGTCCCCAAATAGCAATAACTGTGTTCCTGAGAGTAGTTATTAAAATTTCAAACACTGTTAAAATATTCAGCCATTTATAATTATTGTTCCAATGTACATGTCCAGTTTTAACTTCTTCCTATAATCAAGTTTCAAATCTTGAAAAAGGAAATTAATGCTTGTGTTTTTAAAAAGTAAAAATAAATTAAACAGTCTTGGAAGTGGAAGCTCAGAAACTAAATTGTAGGGAAATTACAATGATCTGATACTGAGTATGCTGAAAAATTGGTTTGAATTTGATTTTACTTACAGGCTGACAAGCTGTACCAGTTATCTGACAACAGGAAATTAAGAGAGTGATCGCAAGATACGTATAAATAGATCAGGCACTTTTAAATCCCGTTCTCCGCGGCTGCCGCTGCCGGGGCGCCGCCCCCGGGGAGGGGGCGGGCTGGGCCCGGGATCCCGCCCCCGGGGAGGCCCCGCCGGGCAGCGCAGGGTGCGGGATCCCGCCCCCGGGGAGGCCCCACCGGGCAGGGCAGGGCAGGGTGCGGGATCCCGCCCCCGGGGAGGCCCCGCCGGGCAGGGCAGGGCAGGGCAGGGTGCGGGATACCGGCCCTGGGGAGGCCCCGCCGGGCAGGGCAGGGTGCGGGATCCCGCCCCCGGGGAGGGGGCGGGCTGGGCCCGGGATCCCGCCCCCGGGGAGGCCCCGCCGGGCAGGGCACGGTGCGGGATCCCGCCCCCGGGGAGGCCCCGCCGGGCAGGGCAGGGCGCGTCGAGATGTCGCCGTGTGGGCTCGGGCGGTACTTCTGCACGGCGGGCCGCGGGCTCGAGCCCTTCCTCGCGCGGGAGGTGCGGGCGCGGCTCGGCGCCACGGAGGTGAGCGGGGAGCTGGAGCCCGAGCCCAGCCGGGCGGGGCGGGGCGGCCCGGCGGGCAGCGCGGCCGCGTGCGTTCCACGCCCGGGAGCCACCTGCGGGCCCCGCGGGGCCGGGCCCGGTCGCGGTCGGAAGGGCCTCTGCACCGCGGGCGGGGGAAGCCGCCCGGGGCCGTGTCCCCCCGCCACCCCCGGGGCTGCGCGAGGGGCTCACCCTCAGCTTCCCGGCGGCTCCGGGGGGTGCTCTCCCCGCAGGTGGACTGCGTCTCGGGAAAGGTGTTTTTCAGCGCGGCCGCGGGACCGGGCGAGCTGAGGAAGCTGCGGTCGGGGGAGCGGCTGTTCCTGCTGCTGAAGAAGCACAGCCCGCTGGCAGTGTCTAGGAACAAAGGTACGGCCCGGCACGGCTTGCGCGGGAACGGGAAGTCCCAGTTCGAGTCCTAGTAATAAAACTTATATTTGAGGTATGTATCTTTTTACTGATGGCTGTAGTTCTAATTGACAATAATCGATTCTGAAGTGTCTTCCACTCAGGTATGTTTTCAATATCTTCTTTTAACCTGAAAAGGGCTTTTCAATTGTTTTCAATAGATACCTTCCAGCCTACATTCTGCTGGCAGTGAATGTGTATATGTAAGAACCGCTGCCACCCCACCCACTCCCATAAGAGAAACACCTCACCCAGAAACCAAAGTCCAGTTCTGGATCCCTTGTGTTCATTTTAACAGTAACTCATTTTCTGTTAGACAAAGTGGATACAGGCCTATATCCTGTATCACTTGTTCAATACACAGATTCCTTGTAAATCTGAGCTACTTGGGTCATATTCTCTGTCAGTGTTGGAATAAGAATGTCAAGTTAGATGGATTGATATCTGCCTGCTGGTGGGTTTTTATTTGGGAGATCACTGATATCCTTCAGCTTTGAGGATCAAATTTGGCCATGGTTCTAAAATTTTGAGTGAGAACTAGGAAGACCTTTTTTTTTTATTCCTCATGACCTAGTTTGAGGTATTTAGGTGAATTGGCTTCTGTATTGCTTGTGTCTGTCTTGTAGCTAGCTCAGGAGGACTGCCCACACATGTAAGTGTAAGTGTGTGTTGCAGGATTGAAGGCAGGTTGATGAATGTGAGGAGGGATTTCCTTTCTGAAAGAATAAACGTGGCTTCTTGCTTGAGCTGAATCAAAGTAATTCATGTTTATATCTGTCTTTCAATCTTGGAAAGTGTCATACATGTCTTAATCCTAGACCAAGTGCTCTCTGGGGAGGATGGCATGGTAGGCTGGTCCTCTGTCCCTGGGAATGACTCTCGGAGGTCGTGTGGTTTTCTAGAGCTGTTGAGTTTTTGTGCAGAATTCATCCCTTGCATGATTTAATCTTGGATGTGCAGAGCTTGTAATCGGAGGGATGCCTGTGTGTCTGCTGGTGGGCACGTGAGTGCTGAGAGCTCAGCTGTGCCTGTGGTGTTTGCTGCTGGTTCCTGGATTCACACATTAAGGAAGTCTGAACACAGTCTCTGTTAACAGCTGTTCTCAGTCTGTAGAAAAATCAAATGCTGAGACTGAACTACTTAGCACAAAACTGCTTTTTTCTTCCAGGGAAAATGCTACATGAGATTAAAAGCCTTGTAATTGAGGAACCGAGATATTGGTTGGATATTATCTCTGTTTGGAGAAACCTTCATGGACATGAGGGGAAAAAAGGTGATGTCACTCGAGAAAACCCATTGGCTCTGAAGAGAAAGTCAGAAGAAGAGACAAATACTGCAAGTAAAAGGCAGAAAACGGAACAAGAGAGAGACGTGTCTGAGGAATGTCAGGTGGAAGCTGGAGAGAGGTGTGTGGTGCCAGAGAGAATCAGTGATCAGGAGTGCCGGACTGAGAGCAGCGCTTCCTCAGAAGACCCTTCCAGAGACAGTGGAGAGAACTGTACTGCAAATGAACAGCTTAGCTTCAGTTTCAGAGTGTCTTGTCGTTGTAGTGGAGCAATTGCCAAAATACTGACTTCACAGGTATGCTGAAGTGTCTGTGTTTTAAAAGAATTTAGCAAAGGTGAACAGTGTCATGTTCTAGAATAACAAACTGATGTAAGCCTTTTCTGTATTTTCTCAAAAAGCCCTTAACCTGCGTTTACCTTAAACAAGTGGAAATACAAAGGCTGTTGTTAATTTCTGGACACGACTATCCTGAACGTTTTTCAGATCTATACCTTTTATTGAGAATAAGCAAAGGTACGAGGTTGAGGTAGCTGGGCCTCGAGGCTGAGGAGTGATCGGATAAGTTTACAGCTACTTAAAGGGCCATTGCAAGAACTGTGGAGCCAGACTCCTCTCAGTTGTGGCAGTGTAGAAGGGGCAAAAGCCAGAACTTGCAGCTTTTTCTTACTTGAAGCTAACAGTAGTTTAGATTTTTTTTCCTACTAAAACTAGTACTTTTAGTGCTACCTAGTACCACTAGAGGTGGGACACATGAGCCTCCCAGCAAATTTGTGTGTTTGAACTCTCATACTCTGAAGACAGTCAGAGCTTTCTAGGTGTAATGAAAGCATTAAAATCTTGAGTTGTGGCTGTGCATTCACAGGTTTTCTGTTGAGTAATCTGGTTTAGAGCCTTGGGAAGTATTTTGTGTATGCGATTTAGAATTCTGAAACGGTGGCAACTTTTGTTGTGACTTGGGCAGGACTTGATCTCCAGCCTCCCTCACTCCAGTTGGGTAATGGTCGTTTGTCCTGTGGTATATTTGCTTTGCCCCTCACTCACCTGCTCTGCCCTCCTGTGCCTCTTCTGGTCTTTGTGTGAACTGTTCTCCTAGGGATAAAGAGAGACTCGTTCTTTTCCATGGGATTTCTGAGTTGTGCAGTCATGGTTGGCAATTCTGTTATTTTTATTGCCTGTGATTGTTCTTCCTCCTTGCAGGAGATCGGAAGAGCCATTGGCGTAGCACTCATGAAGCAGTGTGGGTGGCGTGCTGATCTGCGGGACCCTGACCTTGAGGTAGTGGTGCTTGCCTGCCAGACGGCCTGTTGGTGCTTCCCAAACTGCCCAGGACATCTTTTGTTTTGTTCTCTGCTCCCTTTGTATGGGGACTGTGGCCTCTTCCCGGTTGTCTTTCTGCCACTGAATTTAACTGGAAATCACTCAATAGCACTGAGCAAGGAGTGTCTATAGCCCCTGTGTGTGTGCTTTCCAGAGCACTAAAATAAACCCAGCCTGGCTGCGTGGGCCTGCACGTGAGGGGAAGGATCTGTACAGGAGGTGTCTCAGGATCTGGCACTGCTGGATTCTGACTCCCTGCAAATGGAGATCACCTGAGCTGTGGGGCACCTGGTTTAGCCTCTGTAGGGGAAGAGAGCAAGCAGCAAGGGCACGTTCTTGGGGAGCTAGACCTGAGAATGCCATTTGTGGAAGAACCTCCCCCTGGGCCCTGTCCTTGACAAGCAGCTTGCTTAGTACACCCTCGATGGTGCAGGCTCCTGAAGACCTTGGAAAGGACTCGTTGCTCTTGACAAGCTGTTTCTCCATCCTTGGGTCTGACCTGTGGAAGCCGCTCTCAGCACTAATGCTGGGAGATCTGAGACCTGTGAAAACTGGGGCTGGTTTTCCTGGGCTGAGCATTATGTACAGCTTTGTTGAGGCTTAGATGGGGCTCCTGTTCTTGCCCAGATTTTGCTCTGAATCTTGCCCAGAGTTTGTTCATTCAAGTGCTGAGGACTAGAATTTTTCAACAGCATCATATTTTCCTCTGGATTTCCTGGGGGCAGGGATTGTAGTCATGCAAGTCCTGCTTGGGGAGCTCAGTCTTCTTTTGGGATGCTCCCTGTGTGGCAGCAGAAGAATTTCTTTGAGCTGTCTGTGTTTCTGGAAGGATTACTCAGGTTTACCTTCCGTCTGTAATGTCGCTTACTGGCTCCACTGTGAGTGTTGGGGTTTTTTTGTTTGTTTGTTTTTAATATATTTTTATTTAAATGAGGGGGGTATGTGAATTGTTAGGTATATAGTGAATAATATTCTACCACTTAGAATAAATGGATTCATTATTACAAATTTCCACACTGTTACAAAAAAATGGGTTCCATTATAAATTCAAGTGCTTGTTCATGGATTTCTGGCTGACAAAATCCCCTTCCAGCTTGCTTAAGCATTAAATCCTCTTTAAAGTGGCATTCAGATTATCTAGTGGGATTTCTTCCAATTAATCATAATTGCCTAACGTATGCATTTTTGTTCTTAAAAACTAGGATTGGAAGTTTGTAGAAACATTTGTGTCTGGTTTAAATGAGTTAAAGCTATTGTCATGTCAGGTTGAGAGTTTAAAATTTTTTTTTTTTCCTCTTTTAGATCTTTGTACATCTTAATGACATTCACTCTGTGGTGGGGATTCCTCTTTTCAGGTAGGCATTCTCCTCACCAGATTTGTCTTGACAGTATCAGAACCAGCAGGATTTGTAAATAGTCTTGCTGTCCACTGTGTCCATCTTCTAGTTTGATATTCACTGGATTGTCACATTAGTCTTTTGATCTGCCTGGAATCTGTGTGAGGACACAGGCCAGACTCTGCAGCGAGTTATGGTTTAAAGCGGACTCTGGTTTCAGTCTCTCTGCAGATCTTTCCAGTTCATTTGTTCTTTGCTATTACGTGGGCTTTTCTGGGTGGTTCTACCGTTACCTTACACGGATTTTTTTTTTTTTTTTCTGTTTGCAGGCTTCCATTGGCAAACAGAGAGTATATCAAAACAGCAGGACTGCGGTCAACAGTTGCATGGGCCATGGCATCTCTGGCCGAAATCCGTGTCAGTGAATGTTCCTGGCAAAGATATGGAATCCTGAATGAAGGAAAAGGGGGGTGCTGCTCATCAGGGCTGGAGCTGGAGGCTTTGTAGGAGTGTGAGGATTTTAATGCCCCACCATCTAATGCATGAGGACAGGGTTTGCTTTATCTGTGGTCAGTGTGCCATCACCTGCTGTTCAGCAAGGTGTCTGCTGTAATTCCAGGTCCTTCTCAGCAGAGCTGTTGTTCCTTATGCAAATACATGTCTAAGTGGCAAGATTTTTTTCACTGTACAGACTTCAAACCTTGTTTATAGTTGTTTCCCAAGGGAGAACAGGAGCAAATGTGATTTATTTCCACAGATTAATTTGGTACCAATGTCTGTCTGCAGACAACTTGTAATGTTTGCCCCTGAATAGCACCTCAGGGCTGGATGCCTTGAAGCACTGTCTGTAGTGAAGTTATTGATGCTTTTTACTCTATTCTCTTAGAAGCGAGTTTGGCCTGGTAAACCAGCGATAATTGTTACCTGTGCTAGATTCAGTGGGAATATGTACATCCTTTGAGATATCTTTGTCCTGAGGGAGGAGTCTGTCTTGCTTGGGATGCAATAACCCCTTTGTTTTTATAGGCTGGTGCCTTTGTGCTGGATCCCATGTGCGGGCTAGGAACGATACTGCTGGAGGCTGCCAAAGAGTGGCCTGTAAGTATCCCAGCTGCAGCTGACTGGGCCTTTGCAGGACAGCTGGTAGTTATGGCACAGAGTTTTCTCTGGATCAGTTGTGCCAAAGTCCATCACTGGAAAGGTGAAACCAAACTGATCTTTCTAGGCAGCTGCTAAAAGGGTGTTAGTACAAACATTCCTGTACAGGAATGTGAAACCACGTCCTACAGACTGGGGAGCACTGGGTTTACACTGCAGGGTTCGTGTGAGGCAACCATGGACTTCTAACGCTGCCTGGGCTCCTGGCGTGACTGCAGGAGTCAGCGTGGCCGTACAGTTAGTTGTCAGCATTAGAGACAGCTGTAGCCAGCTGGGCTCTTGCTGTTAGGACATACCCTTCATATTTCTGTAAGTTACAAGTATCTTGAGCAGACCAGAACATCAAAGGAGTGAAGACAGCACATACTTATCCCATTCCTCCTGGGTTGGGAGTCGCTCTGTGTAATGGTACACAAGGGGGCTGTCTTGCAAGAGCTATGCAACAAGGCAATGCTGAGAAGGGCTTATAAAATAAATAACCTGAGTGTTAACAAAATTACTTTTCTCTCTCTCTCTCTCTCTGAACAGGAAGCCTGTTACTGGGGTGCTGATATAAGTGATTCACAGTTAGAGGGTGCAGATGTGAATATTAGAACTGCAGGCTTAATGGATAAGATTGAGTTGCTTAAAGCTTCGGTGAAAGGTATGTCTGTAGGCTTTCCAAGAGAAATTTTTTGTGGGTCTGGGATTATACAGGTAATTAGGTCCTCTTGAGGTGATATGTTGTAGAGCCAACTCCCAACAAATAGCTGAGCATTGACTCTGTAGTGCTAGTGAAAGGATAATTATTTGTTCTCCCTACCTTGCTGCCTGCTCCCGGGAACTGTGGTAAGAACGAAGTCAGCATGATGGTGCCTTTCTCCTGTAGGAGCGAATCTGCTCTTAATCCACAGCCTGATCTGTAGAGAAGGTAATAATTCTTTGACCATATTATGGACATCAAAGCCTAAGGCTAAATTATCCCTGTATGAAATTCATGACAGGCAATCCCTGTGCATGGGTGATGAAGTATGCATATTTTTTTTCCTTGCGATATTTCTTACCAGAAGATAAGAAATATTATTTATTTTTTATAAGAATATAGGTTTATTTCTTAAAAGCTATGTTTGAGTTTGGCTTCTAGGATAATGGAAGGTACTTAGGTGTCAGGTTTTCTAACACTGAACAAGTAATTGGTGTCTTCATCACTGTTCAGAAGCTGTTATTTCTGCACATCTTGAGGAGGGCTGTGGGTGATTCATCCTTATGTTTTTGCAGACAAAATTGTTATAAAAATTGTTGTGCTTCAAGTGTTGATACAAGGATGGTCCAGGAAACATCTCCAGCTAGTTCTGGAAAAGTTGACATAGAATCACAGCAGGGTTTAGGTGAGAAGGGACTGTTGGAGGTCTTTGGTCCTGTTGTCTGCTGAGAATTGGGCTAACTCCAAAGCTGTGTCACATTGCTCATGGCCTTGTCCCATCAGTTTCGAGCACCCTATGGAAGGAGGACCCATAGTTTTCTACTTGAACATGCTGGCTATGCTCTGGCCAGCACAGCCTTGTATGTGGCTGATCTTTATCACCACAGGTTGTGGTGCTTCATCGTGGTCAGGAGAACTGACTGTTCCTGGGGTGCAGAAACTCTGGAAAGACTCCAAAAACACCAGCTCTGACAGAGTGCCAAGTGATTCTGGGTGTAACCAGATTCTTGGGGGGAGAAAAGGAGGTTGAAGAGGAATTTAATGTGGTTCCTTGCCATTCATACGTGTGCATTTGAACATCTGCACTAAGTGAAGTGCTCCCAAGCTTCTTTTGCATTTTGCATTTTACATTTAAAATGTACTGTGTGTTGAGAAGCAGTTTGGGACCGTGCAGTGCCCTATTCAAAGACTTATGTTGGGACAAACGTATCACCAGTAACACAGAATGTGCAAACTAAACCATGCTGTCATGCATTTGTCTCTTCCCAGTCTGCAGACTGGTAGTGCTGTTTGTGAGGGCAAGTGCAGCAGGAGTGTGAATCTGGGTGCATAACCCACAAAAGAGCTGGCAGTGTTCTAAAAGGGGAATGGGGTCATAGCTGCTTTGCATTTTTCAGACAGTCAGAGGTAAAGACCTGCCTTTATTCTGCAGCCCTGCCATTGCCTTCAGAAAGCTTTGACACTGTGATTTCGGATATTCCATTTGGGAAGAAGTTCAAGATCACGGATGATGCCCAGCTCCTACCGGATATTCTCCAGGAAATGGAAAGGTACGTGTGGCTTTGACATGCTTAGGGTTTGGTGTAAATGCCACAATGGTGGCATTTCTCCCATTTCACCCTGTTTTCTCCCATTTAGGAAGAGGCGTGAAGATAGGGAATTTAGATTCCATTTGGAGGTGTAGCTTCCTGGGTTGAGTCATGACACTCAGGTGTTTTATTGAGTGCAAGTGGCATCTGAAGTGTCAGCAGTGTGGAGTTCTGCACAGGCAAAGGAATGCCAGGTGGGATGAACACTAACCTTTATTTTTCCTGCAATTGCCAGAGTGCTCCGTGTTGGAGGGACTATTGTATTGCTGCTGAGCCAAGATCTCCGAAAGCGCATGGATGGCTTGACCACGTGTGCTGGAAGTGACTCTCCTGAGGCCGTTGCTGATGGCACCAGTGAAACAGCCACTGCAAAAGCCCCAAGTGTTGATGAGAATTCTTCCTCTGTGGCAGATGGTGTTGGAGAATCCTTTCTCAGCAGCAGACAGACACATTTTGGGTCTCTGGTGCCGGATGGTGTCTATGGGGTTAGTCTTGGGAAGACAGAGGCTTTCATATACAAATACAGGAAGATCTCTGCTGCCAGGAATCGGTAGCTTTCTGGCACTGTGCTGAAGGAACTTGAATCCTGAGACACTTCAGAAGCAGCTTGGCATGACCAGTGGAACCCTTCTGATGCAAACGAACCCCGTGCCATCTCTTAGCTCGCCTCACATTCTTTGGATGTCCTAAGGCACTGCTTCTCTCTGGTTTTTAGGAGAGATGGAAGGTGCCTACTAGAGTTTCAGCTGGTTTCCCTGTATTGTGCACAGTGAAACAGTATATGGTATATTGTAATAAGCCAAAGTCCTCAAATCCTTGTTAAGGCAAAGCTGCTCATTAATGGGAGGAGTTTCTATGGGAGAGAAAGTATTTACTGAACTGCAAACCCCAATGTGGTAGCATTAAATGTAAATGGATTTTCACCTTCAGCAGTGTTTATCAAGAAGCACATCTTGTCTGAAGAAGTCTCCATCTCTTTTTGAGGGGTAGACGTATGCTTTACCAAGCAGTCTTTTATTTTAAAGCTTGTTTCTGGTAAGTTTGTGAGATCTCTTGGAGTGGAAAATAAACTGTTTTATGTATTAATTCTTTGCGGCATTTTCATATGTCTAGTGGGTACGCTTTAATTTAGTGTTTTAGGATGAAGAGTCTTATTTCTATCAAAAGTAATGCTTTTCCTCACTTGGTAATGTTACTCCAAGGACACAGTGTGGATGATGGGAAAACTTGCCAAACAGATGAAAAATTAGAAATTAGGAATGTATTCTGCCTGAGAGAAGCACATGGAAAAAGATCTCAGGAAAAGAGGTTTTTTTGGTTAATGCAAAAGCTATTTTGGGAGGCGGGGAGGAAATAAACTTAACTGCATGCTTTCCCATGGCTGTTGAGCTGATAGTGAAGGATTTTTATAGAGAATGCTTGCAGATTGCTTTAAGATGCTGCTTTGGACAAGCTTGTCAAACTAGGATGGACTAAAGCATTGTGTGTCTCTTGGTGCTTAGTGAGGCGATAACCATTAGCAGTGCGCTTGCGTTTGTTTGGGCTGGGTTTGCATTCTTCTTTTTCAGAAATTTGTTCTGTGTAGCCTGTTGGAAGCATTACTTATCCATGTGCTTTCTGTGGCAGTCTCTACTCTGGGGATCTTAGAATTTGAAGTCTTAAGAGCCTGTGGTGTGGACTGAAGTACGAAAACTCCAAGAGCAATGAGGGTGTGGATTGGAGTGGTAGGAGCCTCCTGTTAACACTGGTCTCTGGAAATGTGCTGATGCACGGATTTTTGGCTTTAAACAATACTTCTGTAATTATTTGCACTCCCACCCAAGATCAGCTTTCAAAGAGGCCTTGGAGCAAATGATAATGTCACAAGAAAGGCTCCCGGCCGGGGGGGCGTGGCCGCCTTACACAGCCTTTAATGAGAATAATAACAAAATTTAAAATTAAAATAAAAAGAAAAATAAAATTTAAAAATACAACAAAAAATGCATTCTAATGAAAATTGTGATAGCCAATAAAGACCAAAGGAGAGATAATTTGCTTATCAAATTATATTTGCAACACTGTAACTACAAATTGCAATAAACAAAGTCCCAAGTTTCTATAAGTTTCAAGTAATAATTTCATTTAGTGTTTGTCTTGACTACCTCATGCATATTGATTGTATCATATACCTGTATATTCTGTGGGTTTTTGGCTAAATGTTTAATGTGTAAGTTTTCTCACAGCTGAAGCTGAGAGTTATCTCTACAACCAGTCATAGTTCATGTATTCTTAGACGAACAGGCGCCTAAAGATTTAAAGTTCTATTATATTTACAGCTAAGGTTAAAAGAGCTATCTCTGCAGCCAGTCCTAATTCATGTACTCTTGGACGAGTAGGCGCCTAGAGACTTAAAGTTGTACTATATTTCATTCTTAGGATAGTGAGAAAGTTTTAGGCCTTTTGACCTTGTGAGGGTCTGTTTTGTTTCCTTGTGGGGGTGTAGTTGAGTTTTAGAATCTATTTAGTCTGTTTTTAATGTAGTCACCCATTTGCTTCACGAATCACAATTATTTATATATCACACAAACCATAATGTTATGTTACCATAATTAGTGATATTTTGTTATGTTATGTAATAAGAAAAAGAACCGAAAAAGAGAACAGAACTATTTTCCAGCGGCAAGATGGCACATGCGCAGAAAAAGCTGACTACGTCAAAAGGATGAAGTGAACAGAGCCGAGCTTGTCTCCTAGCAACAAGATAACGCATGCTTAAAGCCTCTTGGCAACAAGAACAGAGCCTGCGCAGACAGACCTGATGAACAAAGGAGGGGATTTTAAAAGAGATAAGCAGCTCCAAACCTATAAAAGGCAGATTGGAAATTATTGAAGTGTGCCTTGGATGAGCAAGGAAAGCTCACTAAGTCACCCAGCGCTGTAATTTGCTTATTTGATTTTTATATAAATCTATAATAAAACTTTTTACTACGATATTTGAGCCTAGTGCCGATTTTACTTATAACAAAAATAATCCTGGCAGCCTTTGCACCGCCTCGGTGAGTTCTGCCGGGCTTTCTAAAATAAAAAATAAAATAAAGTTAAAAATACCCCAAAAATACATTGGATTGTCGTGTCTTTTATTTTCTAAAGGGAGCTCCCGAGCGGTGCCCCAAGGCTGCCAGGCTGCGCCGGGAGCTCCCCTGGCAGGAGGAGGGTGGGTGGCAGTGGCCCCAAACTGGGCCGTGCCCGGTTGGGGGGCTGTAGGGCCACTCCAGCTGCTGCTGCTGCTGGGGCTGAACTGTCTGCAGTGCCCGGGGGCCGGGCAGGACTTGGCCCCGATGCCTGCATTGCTCTGCAGCGGCCAGGGAGGGGTCCCAAAAGTCACCCCCCCGCCTGCTGTGCTGCACAGCAGGGGCTGGCTGGGCCGGTTCCCGGCCGGGGGAGCCCGGGGGAGGCCGTGCTGGGGCTGAGGGGCTGCTGCTCTCTGGGCCTCTCGGGGTTTGCCTTGGAATCCCAAAGCCTGTGCCTGCGCGGGGGAGAGGAGGCAAAGGTGACTGTAAATTGGTCTGTTGTGGAGTGTTTGGGGGCCGAGTTAATGCTCTTGGCTTGTTGTGTGTCAATTCCCAGCCTCGGTCAGGGCTTCCCGGGGAGCGTTGCTGCCGCTGCCGCCACTGCCGCCGGGAGAGAGAAGTCCTTTGGGAAGCCGGGATAAAACCAGCAACTCTGTGAATTGCCCGGCTTTTCCTAGGGAAGGGCAGGTTTTCGGGAAGAAAGGCCCGTCCTCGCGAAAGGCGCCGCGGGTCTCGCAAGGGGGGGGGCGCGGCTGCAGTGCCGTTCCCGGCCGTGTCCGCCAGGCGGCGACTGCGAGGCGGGGCCCGGCGGTCGGGGGCGGGCTTGGAAGCGGAGAGCTGGAGCGTTTTGTCGGTGCCGGGCTTCTCCGAGCTTCGAGCCGGACTCGGAGCTTTTTGTGGGACTGCACAGCGAAGCTGCCTGTGGGAATGACGCGGCTATTGCTCGGGGTACTCCTAACGACAGTGTCTTTTACTCCGTGTTCCCAGGCTGCCTCTTTCCCTTAGGTCGCCGTGGGTTTGCCGGACGCCTCTGGCAGGACTAACCCCGTGGCTTTTCTGTCCAACGTGCTGTGCTGTGTGTGCCTGCAGGTAAGAAAAGCTGGGAGTGCAGTCCCTCTGCTTTGGTTGCTGTGTCTCTTTGGGAGTTGTTTCGGAGGGCAATGAGAGAGCGATTTGGTTTGAAGGGGACCTTTAAAGGGCACCCTCTCTGCCGTGGGCAGGGGCACCCTCCACTCTCATCCCCGGTTGGATGCTGCAAGTCCCATCCAGCCTGGCCTGGAACACTTGCAGGGATCCAGGGGCAGGCTCGGCTTCCCTGTGCAGTGTGCTCTGATATCTCTCCACTGGCATGGTGAAAAATTTTGTCAGCACCTTTTGTGCGACGATGGTAAGCAGGACCCGGGTGAAAATTGCCTTCTCTGAGGTGCAGAGGGAAATAATTCTCTTTTGAAGTCCAATGTAATTCAGTTTTGTACGAGTCTTGTCTGCCTTATGTTTGAATTGCTTTCTATTCTCGGCAGTTGTTTTCAATTAAACTTTTATTTTGTGTCTCCCCCCTCAGCATCCTGTCCAAGACAAAGCTACCTTTCTTTCCTCGTGGGAATGGACTGGCCGGGCTTTGGCAGTCTGGCCCCTCGAAAGACTAAAGTGACCTCTTGCAGCAGGGGAAGACTTTCTGGCAAGGGGTGCCAGGAAGAACTGGAGTTTCTGGAGAATAAAAGCTGGAAGCGTGCCCCTGAAAATCCCCAGCCCCGGGTGGTCAGCGGTCTGACTCGCACGGAACGGTGGCCTTGGCCAGGAGCAGTCCTGAGGGCCTGTAATTTGAATTTCCTGCCCGGGCGGTAATTTTAATTTCCACTGGGTGCTGGCAAAGCCCCCCTGGGGGTGAGCCCCAGTGCCTGGCAGGAGCGGAGCGGGCTTCCAGGGAGGTATTCACCTGGTCAGCGTCAGGAGCCATCCTAACTGAGGCCTCGGTGAGTGCTTTTTGTGTGACTGGACAGTGAAGCTGTGTGAATGACCTGGCTATTGCTCAGTGTGGTCCTAATTAAGGTGTCTTTTACTCCGTGTTCCCAGGCTCCCTGTTTTCCTTCGGTTGCCGTGGGTGTGCCGGACGCCTCTGGCAGGACTAACCCTGTGGCTTTTCTGTCCAACGTGCTGTGCTGTGCTGTGTGTGCCTGCAGGTAAGAAAAGCGGGGAGTGCAGTCCCTCTGCTTTGATTGCTGTGTCTCTTGGGTAGTGATTTTGGAGGGGAATCCCAGAGCGATTTGGTTTGAAGGGGACCTTCAAAGGCCAGCCTGCCTTCCGTGGGCAGGGACACCTTCCACTGTCCCCGGTTGCTGCGAGTCCCGTCCAGCCCGGCCTGGAACACTTGCCGGGATGGGGCAGGCTCAGCTTCCCTGGGCAGTGTGCTCTAATATCTCTCCACTGGCATCCTGAAAAATGTCGTCAGCGTGTTTTGTTGGACGCCGGTAAGCAGGACCGGGGTGAAGAGGACATTCTCTGAGGTGCTGGGAGAAGGAGGACTCGTGCGGGCACCTCCAGAGACAGCGGGAACGGGAGCGTGCTGCGGAGAAGGAAAATTCCAGGGGGTGGGCGCCGAGAAATTTGTCCTTCCCTCGCCCTGTGCTCTGCACTCAGCAATGGGTCAAGTGCAGAAGTTTCCTGGGGACCCTGGGAAATGATGCCGGGTCTGCTAAGAAAAGTGGGGCCAAAGGAGCAGGACCTGGGTCTGCGAGCGTGGGAGAAACAAGGGCCGGGTCATCCTCTGCCTCCGGGGGGGAGGGCAGCAGGAAAGGCCACGGACTAAAGCACTGAAGTGCCGTTCCCCAGGGAGCCCCTGCCCAGCACTGAACTTGCTTGTGCACTTGCTGTCCCTTTCCCAGTGGAGCCGAAGCGTCGGGTGCGGGTGCCGGGGGGATGGAGCTGCCAAGGACAAACTGGGAGGGTGTATGCGAGGGAAGGGGGGAGAAGGAGCTCTTGACGTGCTTTTTTTCCTTCTTCATGCCACAGAATTGCCACGAGAGGAAATACCTCAGAGGGGCTTCCCTCCAGGTAAGCCCTGAAGATGCCAGGAGGTTTCAGCCGGGAGGAAAGGAGCTGTGGAAGAAAAGGGGCCTAAAAATAGCCAGTGGGGATCATCAGGTTTTCCAGCCAAGAAGCACAAGGAGAGAGATGAGGGAATCGGGTTCCAATTGCTAATGATTTGGTGGGTGTAGGAATGATTTGTGTGTGTTTTCCAGTCCCTTTTGATTCCTGGGATGATTTTAAAATGATGGCTAAATTGGAGATGTTGTTTTTGAGAGGAAATGATGCCAAATAAATGCAGAGTTTTGGGTCAGTTTTTGGGATGATTTGGGTCAGTTTTTGGGGTCAGTTTTGGGTCATTGTTTGGGGTGATTTGGGTCAGTTTTGGGTCAGCTTTTGGGATGATTTGGGTCAGTTTTGGGTCAATTTTTGGGGAGCACTGGGTGTTCCTGGGGGTTGTTGAGGAGCACTGGGTGTTCCTGGGGGTTGTTGGGGAGCACTGGGTGTTACTGAGGGTTGTTGGGGAGCACTGGCTGTTACTGGGGAGCACTGGGAGAGAAAATGAAAAATAAAGAGAATAAAAAATAAACGAAATAAAAAAGGAAATATAAAAAACAAAAGAAAATTAAAAAAAAGGCAAAAAAACTAAAAAGGCAATAAAATGAAACTGCACTAAAAGAGAAAAAAAAAAAAAAAGAACCCCCTTCTTGGGCACCCCGTTTCCTCTCCTCCCCCCCCCGACCCGTAAATTGCGGGGTCATCACCCCTGAAATGCGAGAAGGGGACCCCAAAATGTGGGTAAGGGAACCCCAGGGAGCCGAAAAAGCGGAGGGGGAGCCGCAGTAAGAAAGCGAAGCCGGGCGGCGGGGTGGGGGGGAAGCCAAGGTGGCGACGGCGGCGCGTGCGCAGTCGTTGGCAGGACGCCGGCGATCACGTGGTAAGTAAGGGCAGTCAGGAGAGGGACCGGCGACGCATGCGCAGTGGCTCTCGTGGCGGTGCAGCGCTCCCCGCTCGAGTTAAGGGCCGGTTCCGGCGGCAGGGCGGGACTGGCGGTCTCCCGTCTCTCCCGGGGTGTGTGTGGGGGGAATAACATGAAGATTTTTTGGGGTGAAAGCGCAGAAATTAGCGAGGAGGGACGGTAATTTGGGTAAACTCGGTCACCGGAAGTAGAGAGCGACCGGAAGTCCTCCAAGGTCCCTGCCCGGCAGTCCGCCAAGCCCACAGTAAAGATGGCGCCACCAGGACCGGAACGACCACACTAAAGATGGCGGTCCCGGCCAGGAAGTCCGCCAAGGCCACAGTAAAGATGGCGCCGCCAGGACCGGAACGACCACACTAAAGATGGCGGTCCGGGCCAGGAAGTCCGCCAAGACCACAGTAAAGATGGCGCCGCCAGGACCGAAACGACCACACTAAAGATGGCGGCCCCGGCCCGGAAGTTCGCCTCGACGCCACACTCAAGATGGCGCCGCCAGGACCGGAACTTAGCCGAGGCCACACTAAAGATGGCGGCGAGAGGCCCCCTGGCCTCAGAGAGGCGTCTATCCTGTTGCCTGACCTCCGCCGCGACCCGGACCCCCGCCCCGCGCCCGCAGCGCCGTCTCGCCGCGCCGCTTCCCGCTGTGGGGACGGGGCGGGGCGCTCGGCGGCGCCGGGCGCGGGCGGCAGGTTCGTGGGCGGCGGCAGGCACCGGCGCGGGCAGCCCCCTCTCGCGCCGCGGCGCGCGGCGCACGCGCGACGATCCCAGGCGGTCGCGGCGCCCGCCCCGTTCCGCTCCGCTCCGCTCCGCTCCGCTCCCGGTCGGTCCCGCCGTGCCCCGGAGATGCTGTCGGGGCTGCGCCGCCGCCTCCCCCCCCCGGAAGCGACCCACGGCGGCAGATCCGACGTCGGGCTCTGCAGGAGATCGTTGCCGGGGTAAGAGGGGGCACGGAGGGGGGGCGGCGGCCGCTCTTCTGCCTCTACCGCGGCCAGCGGGGCCTGCAGCAGGGGGAAGCGGTACGGGCCGCTTTCTTCGCCTCTGCGG